TGCCTCTCTTTACCGCTTTTTGCTCTCATTTCTTAGTCTTCATATCAAATTCCGCAGAAAAATTAAATATTCGCATGTTTTACTGATCTTTGCTGCGTTTATTCGCGCTATAGTGATGTAATTTTGAAATCCTTTACTTTTTATGCGTGATAACCGAAATAACGAAGCCGTAATGCATCGTAGGCTGTCATGAGATGAAAGCGTCGAAAGAAGCGTAATGGCATTTTCTAGAAACAATGGTAACAGTGCTTGCGGTGCTGACAATAGTTGCGCGTGAAAAATGGAGGCTGGAAGGTGCAGACTACTCAAAAAACAACTTTTTTTCCGCGAAAGTGTAGTCGGCCATAGAATTGCATCAATAGTCAAATTTTCAAAAGGCTACTCCTAAAATGGATGCGAATGTTCTTTTGAAGACCTCCAGTGCCTGCATCTTATTTGCTCTAGCAGTGGTATAGTTGACTGCACGGAATCGCCTGGGCTGAACGCCCGCGAGCGTGTCTCTTGCGGGCTAACATTGGCATTCGCGCGCATGAGTCATCATAGCGCCCGTACTCGGCAGCCGCGTTGCAGGTACGCTCGCGCGCGTTAAGCCTAGAGTGACTCGGGCAATTTCGTGCAGTCGACCGTAAGTGCTCGGCCGCATTTGCGCTCGCTTCGCAACGCTAAACCATCCACTTTAGTCTGCGACAAGTATAGGTAGACTGATGGTCGGCAAAGGAATGCAAACTTGAAATTCTATGTTTATTTTTATTGAACGCGAGTAAAAATTTGACTAATTCGTTTAACAATGATTTAAATTCAAAGAACTGATTTCTGAACTTGTCGTGTGATGAAATCTAGTTTGACAGGAAGTTACCGCAGTAAAGGTCAAGTAGGTTGTTTACTTCAGTACAGCAATTACCTAGCGATCAACCGAGTTCCTCCCTTTTCATCTCTGAAAACATGGCGAGGCGATCGCACTCTCAAATTAGCTCTGTTTCAAGTCACCACCCACTTTTTTTTCACCTCTTTCCGTCCCAGTCTCAATGCAGTGACAGTGAATGACTCACTCTTTCCACCAGAATAAATATCAATCACTGTCAGTGTTTTCTAATTTGATAACCGGTCCAGAGCGCAATAAGCGCCGCAAAGTCCGCAGCGTCACTCATTGTGAATTCACTAGAATCGTTGCTGAAAGTGCACTTGTTTCGCATCAATAATGTAAATCCGAAAATTTGCAAAGATTCACTACCACCGTTGCACAATGGCGCTTGTACGACTCGACTAGTGCGGCACTTTTACATCGTTTCAGAATTTGTGAGCCGCCCATCAGAAGTTTGAATTCGAGGTTAATTTTCCTTATTTTACTTATGTACTGTTTAATTTTGGAGCCTTGTCAAGGATATGTCTCCATACTTGCCGTCAAACTTCGGTTATTTGTGTAACTACACTTAACACTATGTCTTTGCATGCCGAATCCCGAGGATCTCGAGAGTCTTACACCGAAATTTCTGATTCGATGCTTTATTCGCTTTAAAATAGCACTTTTAATTGAGCAAAGGAAGCTTTTATTAGAAGTTGTAAAGTCGACTGCATGAAATCGCCCGGGTCGCTGTAGGCTGAACGTTCGCGAGCGTGCCTGCAACGCGGCTGCCGTGTACAGGCGCTATGATGACCCATGCGCGCGAATACCAATGTCAGCCCGTTATTAGCAAGAAAAAAGCCTCTATTTAAATTTTAGTATCTAGTAGTGACTGTCAATATAGTGCCCTTGCGGTGGAGGCAACATTAGCGCGGAAATAAAATCCATGCTTGAAGGCCGACAACTGGCTTGCGACTTGCGCGTAAAAATTGCCGTAGTGCGCCATGCCATCATTTACGCGCAAATGTTGTAAGCAGTGCAAGAACGCTATATAACCGACAAATGTACTGGACTAGATATAACAGTAGTTGTCATCCAAACCGTGGTTGTCACTGTAAATTACTGTCTGAATAGATCACCCTTACTTCACCTTACATCTGTTTCGATGACCGTGAGTCAGCCGCACTAACGACTATGAGGCGTTAGGTATGGAATGCAGCTTACTTTACGGATACGCAAGTGTAACAATGAGTCATTCCTGCTACTGACGAAATCAGAATCGTATTGGGCACTACACTTTTGGCTTCGCGCACTATTCGGTTTCTCCTTTCCAGCCACTCCTTGTCTTTTGAAATGCTAGTTATCTTTTATTGATTGAAAGCGTTTTCGATTTCAAAGTTAGTATGTATAAGGGCCGTGTAGCGACAGCTGCCTCGATATTCTGTATTCACACCATAAACGGGCGCACGGTTTGAAGCGTTCCCCAGCATACAGAAGTAGCCAAGCGTCTCCGATGGTAATTGAAATATTGCATATTTTCCTGTCACTGTGTGTTACTCAGAAATGCTATTGGCCTTAACTTCATAGCTTGCATCACTTTAGCTAAACTTCGTAGCTTGTATCACTTATATTCCATCCGTTTTCTTCTGCATTCGGTTTGTAATTCCACTGCATTACCTACTTTTTGCAAAGTTGTGTAAACATGCCGTTCGCACAATTTAATGATTGAATAAATAAAGGCGCATCTCCCGTGTATGCTGTAATTATAATGTGAATCTAGTGATTATTACCGCTGATATGCATGTAAATTCATTTCATATGTTTTCGATTACTTTTGGAAAAAAAGCATTCTTGAAGAGATCACTTTTTTCCTTTCTCCTGCCAATTTTATTCTTATTACGCCCAAAACAGTATTTCTATGACAAAAAATGCGAAACACTGCTCCTTATTTATTTCTTTTTCTTATGCCCTCTTTTTCGGCTGCCCACAAATCTGGCTTGCCATGTTTGAGCAACGAGATCCGGTACGCGGCAAACGTTGAGGGATACGTTAGCCGTTGAGCGCGAAAGCGCAATCATTAGCCGTAGTTGGCAAGACAGCTAAAGTTGGCCCAGTTTACAATGTTTTTGTTCTCTAAGATCGTTTTGATGTTTCTTGGTCGATAAAATCTTATTTTCGTCATTTCTAAGCCAAATTAGTGCGTTTACTTTTGATTTTCTATTGTAGAAGGCAAGTGCTTCGAAGATCTTTCATCTTTTTTGCTCAGTCTAGTGAGAACAGAACTTTGAAAAATGTGGACTTCATATTTCCCATGACTAGCTTTAAAAAAAGATGTCGGGTTTGCATTCGATGCGTGCAACAGATGGTTGCAATGTTTATCATTTTCAACAGTTCCGCTGACTTGAAAAATCTAGTCATCTTGAATTTTGTGAGCATGTGCGCTCTCTTTCAAACTGCTTTTTCTGTTGAACTTCAAGTACAGCTTTAATCAGTATGCGGAAGTAGATGCCATAGGAATGTCGCCTTGAATACTTTCGCGTTTGCTTCCTAATACTGATGCTGAAATTTTGCAGTTGATGATTAATGCAGAATTAAGTATCGTTCGGACGTATGCAGGAAGTGTTGTTAGAAGTTAGAAGATTTTGCCTATTCATATTTTGACGCTGGTAACGCACAAACAAAGTTTGAGCCAGTGACTTGACGGCCTGAATTGAATCCTCAAGATCAATTCCCCTCATATACAGGATTAATCGTGATAGTGTTTTTGTATTGGCCGCATAAGGCAAGTAGGTTTCACGAAATTTTGGTAAGAGTGGAGCTTTCATTCAATCTACCGCCATGGATAGTTCCGCTGACAAAATGAGTGTGACACTGCATCGGTTCTGAAGTATTTTGTCTGTTTGTGTTCTGTTTCTGTGGTACAGAAACCACGCTTGACACTCTCTCCTTGCGAGAAATATTTTGTTAAACCTTTATCTTGAAAAAATTGAATTCAATGTCGTTTTGAAAGTCTAGTCTGTTCAAACGAAACCAACTCGTTTGGGGATTGTCTGCCATTTGAAGAAATCTAAATATCTGCATTGACTTTTCGCATAAATTGCTAGTGTTTTGTTGAACATAATAACCCTTAGTCCGTTCATCCTTGAGTGTAGAACTGCTAAACTTTCGAAACTTTACAGAAACGCACAGGAATTCTATTTTTAGTGCCAGTGTCGAGATATTCTCCTAACTATGAATTTGCAAGCCGTATCTATCCCTTTGTGGGCAGCCATCATGTGCTCTGCTGAATTCCGAGCAAAATTGGGTGCTACTTTTTTATTTGAAAAGTCTTCTACTGATACTAGTAGGTGATCAGTTTTATACAGCAGATAGCCAGCCAGCTCACTACAAGGAAATGTTAACGGCAAGATATTCTATTATGTTATTACATCAGGATACCATACAAATAACTAGCAAGGAACAACTACAGAACGCAAACAACAACATCAAAAGCAACGTCAGTACATTGAGAGAGTCACTCGATTGCACCTGGCTTCTCAACATTTTTCCAAAGAAGTACAACTTTGGAACAAATGCTCGTTTTTGTCTTTTCCCTCCGGATCAGGCAAAAATCTACATGGGGAAATCTCTTCGAAGTACACCTGAAAAATCCCCCCCCCCCCCCCCCGGCCAACTTTAGTGTCTTGCCAACTACGGCCAATGATTGCGCTGGCGCGCTCCACGGCTAACGTATCCCTCAACGTTTGCCGCGTACCGGATCTCTTTGAGCAACATTCAAGAGCATCATCGTTCTTTTGCCCTATTGTACATTGTAAGCGAACACTTTGGGGTGAACGGTAGGTTTACCAACGAGTCTCAGTTTTTCTACTAAGAATTGTATTTCTCGTACTTTTTCCTAATCTTTTCGAGCGGCAAGTGCTGATTTAGTCCGCTTTTTTGCTCCGCTCGGTTCCAGCGGGGATTATTTATCTACGTATGTTTTTCTATCGTGCAACTATCTATAGTTTCGCTCTTTGAAGCGCTCTGAGATGCTCATCTTGTTCAATGGTTGTCTTTTTTCTAGTGTGCTCAAACAAGCTCTATTACCGCCGCTCAATGTGATCCATTTCGCTATGCATTTGTCGTCTTGACTAAGTTTTTTTTCTAAAAATTCGTTTTGGCAGGCGAAGCAACATACTAGTGGCTGCAAAGCTACATCACTGATATTATCTTCGCCGTTGATGAGGCTCGTCGGTGATCCATACACGTTCAAAGTGAGATTTTCGAGCTTTTATGGTTTTATTTGATTTCTATTTTATTTCTATTCGAAATATAAACATTTGTTTGCGCTTATCACGCATAATTCTTTGCCTTTCCATTATTATCAACAATTCAATGTTTTTTCTTTTGCTTTTGCGATCTCATTTCTTTTGAAGTCTGATATCGTAAGTTACGCATTGCACTACTTAAAGGCAGCGTCCAGGCAGATCTGGACCTATGGTTACGTGGAAAGCACTTTTGGGGCCCTAATTAAGGCACTGCCCAAGCGGCAGCTCAGGAAGTGCTGTAATGGCTGAGATATTCCCCTCGCACCCGACGTAATCGCATGGATTCATGGCAGTTTCGCGCCAGGATCCACGCTTTGCGCCATGAATCCATGCGACGGTCGCGGGGCCCAGTTTCGAGGGGAATATCTCAGCCATTGCAGCACTTCCTGAACTGCCGCTTGGGCAGTGCCTTAGTTAGGGCCCCAACAGTACTTTCCACGTAAAAGCCCCATAGGTCCACATCTGCCTGGACGCTGCCTTTAACTGAAAATGGTGTCTTTGAGTTTCAATCTGCCAACAGAAGGTCCATAACGCAAAAATAGATAAGTTTCCATTGTAGACCACATCTGATTTATATGGCAGGGCGCATTCTCTTGTTTTTGAGCGAACATACTTCACTGAGGAAAATTCTGTGTCAGGAAACGTGATAATATCCCTTCTTGAACGTTCTTTCTTTCGTCGCTCGGTTGACACTCAATGACATCGTTCCACCCTAATAGTCCTCATATTCTAAGTGCTAATTGCTTTCGAACCAACCGTTCGAATTCCTCACTTTCGTGCGGTATAGTCTATTGCCTTGGGTACCTTCAAAATCCTTTGTCAATTTCCTTACCTTTGATAAAATCATAAATTTGGTTAAAGAGACCCAGTGTCTGTTGACTCAGTTCTTTTTCTCTCAATCCGATTCAAAGATATCGATCAAAATTTTATTAAAATTTCAGAAATAAGAGCCGTAATTTGCGATTATCAAAGTGCTCTCCGTACAAAGTGCAAAAACTCAAGCATTTTGACATTGGTAGCTGTGGGGTAAGGCGGAAGAGTTGATTACTTCTCTCTGCTGCCTGCACTTATCTGTCACTAAGCCGATAAGAACCGTGTTGTTGCGCTTTTTTATCTTCAGCTCTTCACGTTTGAACATTTGCTTGTAGATTGAAGTTGTAGGCATGGATTTTCCTCTTACGATTCTAAATTATGTGGTTTTTCAGAATGTGGTTCGAAGAACGTAGTTGGTCAAATTTGAGAATGTCTGAGCTTGTCGAGGAATGGAGAGATCTCTGGTCGTTCAAAGTAAGTGACTTACCTTTACTTTCTTCCTTTACTTCCTTTTTTTCCTCCTTGCTATTCTTTGCCTTTTCTTCAATTAATTGGTATTGACTGGAAATTATTTTTATAGGTTGACTTTATGGTTGCTGCTCTTTCTTATGTTTTCGCTACGACAAATTTTCTAAACTTACCAAAACTTATCTTAGAAAATGGAGGATGTAAGTCTTTTTTTTCTTTGCAATTCGGAATCATAGGGTCTTGACAGCCTCAGTTTAGTAGCATTTGTGGCTGCCTACGGTGCTGCACTCGTTGTTCTCGTACTTCCTACAATTGTGCTCGAGCTGGCTGTCGGGCAGCTGACTGGTCGAGCACCGGTGCAGGCATTTTATCATCTGTCACCAATATTCAAAGGTTCGTTCGATTTCTTGGGGTTTTCTCTAACTTAAATACCTGTTTTTTCTGTTTTTGAATTTTAGATACTTATCTTTTTAGGAATCGGAATATCTCAGGTTTTGTTCACATTGCTTGTATTAGCAACCATGACACGATTTGTTGGATGGTTAATACTTTTCGTCTTTCATCTATTTTGGACTATTCAAGCAGATCGACCTGGTAAGAAACATTTCTACCAATTGTACTTCTCAGACAATGTCCATGTTTGACCTAGGATTGCCTTGGCTCAACTGCAAATACTTTCCTGAGTTGTTATCAACGCCTTGTCGAGACGCAGGATCTATGGCAAACTTTACTTTAGCTGCGCACACAAAGCTCAGCACTGTACAGGCCGAAAGCTCTTTAATCCAGTTTATGAGGTATGCCTTTTTACGCTGTAAATCCCTTATCCCTACAAGTATGTAATTTGATATAAGGTCTCTCTTATCTTCCTTGCAGTCTGTCTCTCAATGTTTAGCCGAAACAAACCCAATTTCTGTACACTCGTGCCATTTTCATGCCCATCGAGAAACAGTTCTTATTCACATCCTTACATCTCTTTTACTTTTACATCTTCAAGATGTTTTTTCCACTATTGGAAAACCGCCGGTTGACACGTATTTTTCTGTATTGTTTTCCTCTTTATTTTTTTGGAAAAATTTAATATTCACCATGTTAATGTTAGGCAGTCAAATACGTTTTTAAGCTATCAATTTAATTTTTTAGCGCTTTGGAAAGGCCGTCGTCATCAATAGCTGATTTCGGCGATTTCCAATATTATCTGCTTGCTGCTCAAGGCCTTGTTTGGATCATAGTATTCTGTGGCATCTGCTTTGGCGTTCGATGGCTTGGAAAGGTAATTTTTTTCAGTTTTTATGAGTCGACAGTGGATAGAGTCATCATGTTCTAGGTCATCCCATTCTCCTTCATGGCAGCGTTCAGCATGATGTTAGCGCTGTTAATCCGTGCCTGCACAATGGATGGTCTCATGTCGATACTCCGAATCTACCTCAATGTAACAGATTGGCACAGGCTAGCTGACCTACATGTAAGCTGAAATCATACTATTGTGTTTACTTTGAATTATTTCTTCTTGCTTTCCTCCAGGTGTGGAAAATTGCATGTGAACAAGCAATTCTTGCTACGGGAATTGGCTTTGGAGCATTTATCACAATGGGCTCTTACAATAGGAGATCCAATAACCTTGTTGGGTATGTTTCAAAACCATTCTTGATCGTTTTTTGCCATTGAAGGTAGCTACTTCCTTGGTCAAAGTCTTGCATCGGTTCTTTTATTTCAAATGTAAATTTCTCTGATTTTTTTTGGTTGTGTATCTAGTTTTTACAATGAGTTTTTTCCTGCTTTTTTAGGGATTCCATCCTTATCGTTATCGGCCATGCTCTATTAACCCTGATGCAGGTTGTTACTGTCATTGGCTTGGTAGGATTCGTTGTATCGAAGACGGGCTTGACACCGTTTGATGTCATGGACAAAGGTAAGTTTTGTAGATGGCATCTGTGTAGATGACATTCATGCAGGTGTAGATCGATTGATTTCGTCCGAACTTTTGCAGGAGAAGCACAAATGTGGCATGTTTTGGCTTATTTTTCATATCTTCCCAATGTCAAACTGTGGAGTGGACTTTTGTTATTTGCGTCTATATTCATTCTGCTGAATATTTTCGTGAGTATTCATTTGTATTGTTTTTATGGAAAATTTTGTAGGATATTTTTTGTCCTTTTTCTCAGCTGCTGAATAGCATTGATTTGAAATTACCGTACTTTAGTACCTCCTCTCACTGTCTGTATTGGCAACTCTGGAAGATGCTTTGGGCGATCGGTGGTCTCGTTGCTTCCCTCGCTTCGTTCTTGCGCTGTTTGTTTGCAGCCTTACCTTTGCGATATCCTTGTACTTTGCTACACAAGTAAGTCATCTTGACATTAAAATATTTTTGTTATATAAAAGAATCAATAATTTAGGCCGGAAGACATGCTTATGAGCTCGTTACTGGTTTTCTCAAATATGTGACCATTTTTGTTATTCTCACAATGGAACTATTTGCTACAGCGTGGTTCTACTGTGAGTTTTTTTTTTCATTTTACGTTTTGTCGTTCAGTTTCTTCTAATGCTTACTATGCTTACTAATTTTTGTAAGTTTATGTCTTGGGCCATTTATGGCAAGTATTTTCCAGGTGCACACCGTCTTGGTATGGATCTGCATGTTATGCTTAGACATGCGTGTTGTTGGTGTCTTGGTCATTTCATTCTGTACTTCACCTACTTGTTACCTATAATTCCTGCGGTACGCTACATGCTTTCAAGCTCGGCTATTTTACGGAGTTGATTGCATCATTTCTAGGCAGTAGCTGCAATGAACTTACAAGGCTACGACTTTGCTACTTTCTCCCCAGCTATTCATTCATGGCCCTGGTCTGAATGGGTAGGAGCAGCTGTAGCTCTTGTCCCACTGCTGCCTATACCTCTATTCCTTATATTCACGGTTCTGGGAGCTTGTTGCTGTCGTGGAAAGCAAGGCTACACACGAGGCCAAGTAAGCGCCCCGTATACGAGTTGGTTATGTCCTCATTGGTGTCATTCCAGCGATTACGACACGTTTTTGCGTCGCGATTACGCAAAGATCATCATAAATCAGCACCTCCGCCGCGATATACAGGAACAGCTCCTGGTTACTTGCTGCTACCGCAAGCACCATTAGCAGAACCTGAAACCTATGCTTAACTACCAGAAGTAAATTTTGTGAATATTGTGACTATAGATGCGATACTCATTGTTAGTCAGGTAAGTAGGTTGTTTCCTTTTACATTTTGAATTTTTTGATTTATGGGTTCAACAGTGATTAACCTCTACACTTCATTTGGGCTAATTGAAATATGAATAGCATCCGAACGCAGTCTCCACTCCTACCGCTTTTCTCCAAAAATTTACCCTTGACAGTGCTCAATGGCACTGAGCTGAAACGCCTATTTTGCCTTTGGATATCTTACCCACTGAAAAAAAAGAGTATGTCTCTCTCTTGCTAAAAAGGAATCTCCTTATTCCCTTGAGATCTTGCAATCCTTGAAAGTCTCAAGCAGTTTGTATATCCCCGATATGAAGAACACAATTTGAAGTGTTTATCTCTTGAAGTTCGTTTTACTTTTTACCTCAAAACCTTTTTGAGCAATTCGGATTGGAGTATGTGAAGTAGCTGCCATTACAGTTACCTTGCCCCAGTTTTTCGTCTGGTCAAGTTCAATGCCATTCAGAGTTTTCTCGAAAACAATTGCGAATTTTGTAAAAAAAAATTCGGCTATGGGTTCCGCAAAATGTCATTGCGATGATTTTGTTGGTGTAGAAGTTGTCCTACAATCTTCTTCTGCGGCTAATGGTCGTTGACGGGTGTTTTTACGAATACTCATTGTTTTTCAGTAGAACATACCGGTATATCGAGGAATGAAAGGAGAGTGTGCGCTAGCCGCTTCTATCTATCATTTCTCTCCAGTTTCGTTTCATTTTCATTGTTTTATATCTTTTCACAAAAGTACATATCCTTATATGTAAGTGAGGATTTTTCTCAAGATACCGCATGTCTTTGTTTTCATTCCTTACGGTTCGCTGAAAAAATCGAACAATAATCGAAATGCTGCCTCTTGCACTGCTACGATTTCATCAATCTTTCATTGTAATTTCTTATCGTTCCCAAATCATTTGTCTCGAATTGATTTACTTCACAATTTTTTTTTCTTTTCTGAGCACAATCGATGATAGATCTTTTTATCTGTACCTTTGCTTTCAAAGTTTGTATTCGTTTTACTATTGTATGTGGATCTATTCAGTGCATAATATGCCAGATAGTCATGAATTCTAATAAAACTAATGATGATAGTTGTATTTATTTGGATTCTGAGACTCTTTGGGTACGGTACAATAGCACATAGTTTTTCTGCTTTTAGAGGGTTTGAAATATTTGAAATGAGTGGTCCGCTTGCTCCTGATAGTGAAGAAAAATACTATATATCATTCTATGTAAAATCAAGGTTATTACTACGTCGCACGATTGTTAGAAAACCTTTTTAAGAAGATTATTTTTCTGAAATCTAATCTGATATATAAAGAATCGTTAACTCAATTCAAAAATCTGCAAATAGCGGGAAACCGCGTGGCGGTCCCGAAGCGAACGCTCTTCCAAATAGAACCTTTAGATTACTGCGCTAGTTTCTGGAGAAAACTGCTGCAGTCTATAGAATGCAAACGATGGTGACTGAAACGCATGCCCCATTATAAACTAACTTGCTAGAGCAGCATGTCCAAAGTTAATTGACTTGGTTGCGGAAGTATACATTCCAGCTAGAGATATCTGAACAAGTATGGTAAGAGATTATCTCGGATGAAGACGGGTTACGATTACGCGGATGTTGTTACAGTAAACTTATCAACGGATAAGTTTCTCTGATATCGCTCTCACATAGCTGGAGAATCGTCATCAATCATCCAAAGTCTGATTTTTAGCTCTGCTCCTTTTGTAGTTTGTGGCTGAAGTCGAAAGAAGAGTTTTCTGCTCAACTTCCCTGAAAATCAATAAATGAAACTCTTAGAAAACTAGAAATTTATCCAAAAGAGTTGAAGCACTTTTTAAGGCTTTTAGAAATGGATTACAAGAATTGGACTAAAACAAACTGACTACTTGCTTCTGTACTTTCTAGAATATTCTGTCTTTTTTCTAGAATCAGTGGAAATTTGAAAAAGTAACAAAATCCCACGTAAACACTTTGTTAGCCATAGCCAACCCAAGTCTCCCATAAAATCCGCTTGTGAATGCTCAAACCAATTTTTTTTGCGTCCTGGGGACTAATCACTAGCTGGGATAACCGAGATTTGGCCTTGTTGGTAATAAAATAGATAAAAATTTTTTCGAAAAATTTGCAATGTCAGTAAGAGCGTATCGATTAGGAATAACGAAACTTGTGGTTAACGGCAAGAGAAAATGAAATTTTTCGAAAATTATATGCCGAACTTAGACATTGAAATCAGAAGGTTCAGAGCTTAAATCATGAAGGCGTGTAAAGTGCTAAAAATGAGGAAAACTTTTTTTCAGAACCTCCCACATCCACTTAGTTGTGGTCACTTCACCTAGACCTGAATGTAGGCAATAAAGAGTCATGTCGACTACACCATGCGATCCCCTGGCCTCCAAATTTTCTCTAGCTTTCATTAGAACAGTCGTTTGTGTCAAACAACTTCTTTTCCAATCCTTCATTATCTCATAATTTTCTTTCCTAATTTCTTTCTAACAACTTTAGTGAACCAGTAATTAAAGGTGTTTGGCATCCGCGCGCTTCGGGACCGCACCGCGTTTCCCGGTATTGGAAGATTTTTGAAATGAGCTAACGATTCGTTATATATCAGATACACAATTGACTTTCGCACTTGCGAACACCCGAACAAAGTGACTTCAGAAAAACTATTAAGTAGGAAACATGAAACAGTAAAAAAATGCCAGAGATAAGCGGACAAATTTGGCGGTAAAATGAGAAGGTCAATGCAATCAATCATTTAAGCGCGTAAAAAATTTAAAGATCGTAATTAGATAATGAAATTTGCGAAGGTGAATCGTGTGAGAGGAATTTTGAAACCGGAATTTTTTGGGAGGCTAAAAAATTTTTTTCGAAAGACCTTCAGCATATGCAGCGATGGTCTGCAGAAAAAACGCCAACTGTATCACTAGAGTGTGCGAAAAGTCTTGAAACCGGAAATTTTTTGAAAAATTGGAATTTTTTTTTGCAAAGAATTCTTGGTGTTTGCAGCGATGGTATGCATAAAAGTTTTGTTTATATCGATAGATATGCGAAAAAAAATTTTGAAACCGGGGTTTCTAGAGGAACCACAAAAATATTGCCAAATAAATTTCTTTATTTGCATGCTGATTTGCAAAAGAAAACTATCAATTATATCGATATGTGTGCAAGAGGAACTGAAACCGGAATTTTTGAGAATAAACAATTTTTTGAAAATCTACATTTGCAGAGCAAGTTCGCGAAAAAAAAACCTTGATTACTCAATAGAATAAATTTTTGCGTTAGAACAGGAATCCCCACTCCCTCTCCAGACTTTCTTTCTCCTTCCTGCCCCTCTGACTGAGCTAGTTATCCCGTAACAACCCAATCAAGTCTGTGATCACACACACAGCTTTCTCCTCCGAACGGGGGGAGCCATGTTGTCTGATTGATAACCAGTGCCAAGTCCTGTAATCTGTCACCAATCCACATTTGGCCTTGGATTTGTCGCCAATGATGTCTCAAGTCCTGTTCTAATGCGATCGAGCACTTTCCCCGTCGGGCTATTCCTATCATGTCCTTTTTCGGAGACTTTTCTGCAAATACCCTTCAATAATTTTCGCCTTCTTTTGGAAATTCTCTATAAACTAGGAGTAATTAAGATTGTAATCAGAATCTTCGATAAGAACAGGCTTCCTAGGGTTTGACACCTGCGTCAGAACTTTCAACTCAATAAGTTTTGAAACTTTTGATGATAGCCTTCCTTTGTTCCTTTATAGTGGGCTTATTATTCTCGCAAGAGAGATCCTAACTCAGACAACTGACCGGAACTTCTGCAAAACGTTTGGGGAAGTTCCGTTGGGTCACCTGCGGAAGTTCCCGTTTTCTTCCAGTCTAACTTGAAAATCCTATGGAAGTTCTCATTTTCGACGTTTCCACTTTTGTAATAGTAAGCAAAATCCTGCGGAACCGCTGCAAATTTTGCTTGCCCTACGGAATTTCCGGTGAATTGTCTGAGAAATTCATTCGAAAATGCTTAACCCTTCCAATTCGTGTGCGATTTTTCAATCGTACGTCATAAATGTAGTACTTGGTTATAGAAGGGTATGCTTTGTACAAAATTTCAGATCTTTAGAAAAAGAAGTGAAAAAGTACATGGAAAACAATAAACAAAGCTCATGTAGCCTAATGTTTTCCTAACATAGATAAACAAAAGCCTTCTTAGACAACTGGCCGGAACTTCTGCAGCGCTTTCGCAGGATTACCCCAGGTAACCCGGCGGAAATCCTGCGAAAACGCTGCGGAACGCCGCAATCTTGTGCACAGGTTTTCGGAATGCTGAATCGCTGCGGAATCGCTGAAAATTCTGCTTGTCCTGCGGAAGTTCCGGTGAATCGAATGAAAATATCCCAAAATTGTCAACTTCTTCGCTAACACATCTAATGAAATTTCTTATGGGATGTTTGGTGCTTCTGTTGAAGTGAATGAAGTCTTCTTTGAAAGAGACACGCAAAGCCTTAAAAAACTTTAAAACTTCAAAAAAAATTCTATTTGGAAGAATCCTATCCAAATTAATTACCGAAAAAACAGCGCGATGTTGCAGTCCAATTTTCTATCGCCTTATTACAATAGCTTTTTCTAACAATGGCCTAATTCCAAAGCTGCCAGTGAGTTTTTTGTAAAATTTTTTAATGTAACATCAATGCTGATACTACATCACATCCCGTAAAAATCAACGATCGGTTCCATTGACCAGTTGCTGACCAAATAAAGTTGATAGAGAATAGTCTTGATGATTATCTGTTCAATCATGCAGGACCTAGGGTTAAACTTTGATGGAATTCGGAAGAAGATACTGGCCAGAAGTTGAATACTTTCACAGACGAAAAATTTGGGTCATAGTAATATTTGAACCAGTTTCGTCATTTACTGGGCACCAATTTTTGCGAATGACTTAACAAAATGGCTTTTCAAAAGGAAGTATATCAGTCTATTTTTGAAATTATTTCACTTGTCCACTTTCTATCCGCTTTTTTCGCTCTGAACTACATCATCTTAAGTTTTCTTATTTAATAGAATCTTTCGGATGTTCAGTTGAAGTTAGAAAAAGAGAGTGAAAAAATAACTTCTCTGTCACATACACAAGCTTCGTCACTTGCTGCGAATTATCACAATAAAAATTACGAAAATTATCGTGCTGCAAACTTATTTTGGAAAAAGCTTTACTGATACTGTACCAAAACGTCACTTTTAACGACTTCAAAGATGTAATAGAGCCATATTTCATGTACATATGGCAAAATTTGAGCTCAAATCAAAAGACGTACGGAAAGTGGGTTGCAAAATGCTGTCACGTCATCGAAAATTAACTCATTGACGACGATGTGGGTCACCGGTGGCCCACACCCCTTGCAAAATCATATTCTTCCCAGGTGTATTTTTTCCACAGTCTCAGCATTTTTTAATTCTTTGTACTTTTCGGACCTGTAGACTTCGTCGTCTAAGAAGTGTTTGTGAAAGGGCCAATGGGTTATTTACAATTCGTAAACAGTCACGAAACTTTCCTACGCTGAAAGTATTGTGTAAAATCGCGTCGTCTCACAGCGCCGCCATGCAAAATTAGGCGTCGTCGTCAATGGGTTAAATTTTTCTGTGTAAAATCAAAAAGGTGATAGACCGACATCAGCGAAGTGCAATGCAATAAATTATCAGTGCAGATCTCTCGCTTTTTATTGCTCTTTTTCGTGAAGCAGTGATAAAGTTTGTCCGCGCGCATGATTTATTGCGTTTGGATTTCTAATCAGGACTCGACACGAGGTGTGGCTTTACGAAAACTTAACTTCCCCAGAATTTCACGAAGTCTTCCTTGACTTCCCCAGGATTTTACGAAGTCCCTTTTGACCTTGAACCATAGACGTAAAAAAACTCTAATAAAAGGAAACGTCGACTAAAAAACGTAAACTCAAGTTGTGTTTTTTTTCCGGCCACAAAAACGATATCCCCTTGCTTTTTGTCCCAAAAACGATATTCATGTTGCTTATAAGCTACCTGTGCCGAGCTCTGTTTTTAATAGACGTAAATTGTTTGCACTTTCTTTTCAAGAGCCTTCGCTAATCTTACGGTATTATACATCCGTCCTTTAGCAAACAAAAATGCTCTATTTTGTGATTTGCGAAAAAAGCCTATAGTTTTAGCTTCCTTTCAATTTAGGATTAACAACCAGAGTTAGACTGTTCGACTTAGCTTAAGCATTGTTTCGAAATCCTATTCGATTGAAAGCCTATTCAAGCAAAGTTGAAAAAACCGAACTGCTTCCAGTGAAAGCCCGATGAAGCTTTCTCTGTTCTTGATGTAGCCCAGGATGATGACAGAGTCAAGATTTTGCAAGAAAAAAAGTTTAGATGATCAATGGGGGCGTAATTAAATGCATTCCAGCGCTCGTTTTTGTCTTGCGCAAAAAAACTCTTGCTAAATTTACTTGCCGAAATCTAGCATTCAATAATTTTATCATGGTTTCTCCGATTATGGTTGTAACCTTTGTATTTGCATCCGGTTAAAAGCTATAAATGCTGAGAATTAAAAAACTGCGTCATATATAAGACAGTAGAAGCTGAAAATAGTCTAGATTCAAGAGAATAGTAAAAAATCAAAATAAAATGCGAAATGCAGGTATCATATGACCGGGTCAAAACAGTCAAATAAAGGGAAAACTACAGAAATATTGCGAAATTGTAAAAACATGACAGCCATTTCTTAAGGTTTGCTATTACTCGTTGTCCTGAAACAGCGATGAGTCAAAATTCCTAGATTGAAATTTATTTAATAAATCAGAAAGTCGAGGAATCTGCTCTTCAAAGGAACACTCAAACTTTCCGGTCCTTTTTCGATGTCCTGGACCAATAACAGTTTTTTTCAAAAGTTTCTATGCTTCAAGCAATCTGTTTTTTCACAAAAGGATCAATATCCTTTGGGCGTAAACGCGGACTAAATCGACTCCGTTTGCCATCGTAAAAGCTGATGAAATGTAGCCCATTATGATGAATGAACAAGCTAAGATGCTCCAGACATCATGTCACCAATCTATCGATTCTGGACCGGTGAAATGATCAGCATATTGGAAGAATGGATCTGAAGGCTTTTTGTGCAATTGCACAACACCGCAAGATGGTCGATGTTGTGAGTTTTAGTACGTACTCTCTCAGTATGCTTCAGAATCAGAAAAAAATGAGAAACATCAAATAATTTTTCCAAAAGCTGGTCAAATGAAATATAAACGCTTACTGTGACCCTAAACTACTAAGTTTTAGCAATAGAAGAGTGCTCTATCCCAAACGGTCGGTTGATAAAGACGCTTCTAATAAACAAGATTTTTGGTATCATGGACCATAAAGTCTAATAGATTAAACTTTATTATGAAACATTTGCATTGCAAGCAGCACTTGCTCGTAAGAATTCTAGCCATTGCGCTAATCATCCAAGCACTTTTTGAGCATGAAAAACTTTTTTTAGCAACTACTGAGTCTGTCATTATTTAACATTCATTTCACTACAAAGACTGTCGCTAGAAAGCGCGGGAATTTGACATTAAATGCTTCCTTTGGAAAGTTGAGGCCCGATAGCAATTTATTACGGGCAAGTGAGGTTGGCGTAAGCGCAACAAAATACCTAGAGGTCTACTGACTTCATAAACAAGTCATTTAAACAAAGTATGATTAGCCTCGTAACTGGAATGGTATCCCGTAAACATAAGTGTTTTCTCTGTTTTGGCAATTGTTTACTAAAGCTATTTTATAGTACCTGAAGAATGCTAAGTGAGTATTGTATACATAGTACCGTACTTTTATAGAAGAGAATAGTCTCCTTTTTTTGTGAAAGTCCGTGCTAGGACTCCTCAATTTTTCTTTGTTAGCTTAGCTCGACTGCAAGGTCCTCCAACTTTGATTGCTTTTTATCAAAGCTTACTAAATCCGCTCACAATCTTGTGGATTATCTGTTCTTGAGTAAACCGCCGCGTTCTTGACGTTCCTCGAAACTAGTCGTGCTTCTGACCTTCGGCGTTCGGCTTTGCAATCATCTTCGCAACGCAACCCCAATAAAAGCAGTGTCGACAGGCGAGGCGAGTTAAGGCGGACCCGGCGTGAACAGCGATGAATATGTGGACAAACCGCCGTTGTGTCTTCTCCGATACCCGGGAGGGGGGGGGGAGGAGCTGATTCTGGATTGTTCCAAGCTGCCGCCGCCGTAGCTACTCTAGTTCTTGACATATCCGGAGCTGATGGTCAATCATACGTCAATCCCCTAGCTGGTTTCCACTATCACCACCGCTACCGCCACAGCCACCGCCACCACCGCCTTCGCCACCGCCGCCGCCAGCAGGAGCAGCTCCCCGAGAGGGGTCAGTGTCTGTCCCGTCTGCTAGCGATTCTCATAATCGCCCCTCGTATTGCGTTAGCGATCGACGCTATTGTTGACGAGCTGGTTATTGTAACTTCTTACAAGAGGCGGGGAGCAGGCGATACGGGGGTTCAGTAACGGCGTTCGGTCGCGCTTTCACTTCAGCTGCTTCTTCAATGATCTCATGTCTCTGTGGATTTCATTGCGTTTTCATAGACTTAGCTGGTTTCTATCTCCCTCTCAATGAACGAGAATTCTCAAACAGTGACGATGCTGCTGTTCAATGCCCTCTCCCCCTCCCCCTTCTTCCCAACCTTCTCACTTTTTCGTTTTTAGCAAGCAGCTTGACTCAAATGTTGCGCAATATTTTGCCAACCCCTTCAATCTAGTTCGCACTTTTTTCTTCATTCTTTCATCCGAAGCATAAGCCCCAACTCCATTAGCGAAGTATTTGCAGTAATAAAGAGCTATGCATCTAGTGGCGACGATATTAGCTGTCGTTCGTGTTTCGTCCTCACATATCCTGTTCTATTCGTCCCGTTATTCTTTCTACACTATGTGCTGAAAACTAGTAAATCATGATTCATAACTGTCAAGGGCTCCTCATTTTTCAAAGTCAGTCGGCTTGGTATAAGAACATAAAAGAAGAGAATTGATTCTTTTGTGAAAACCAGACACTGCACTGTTACGCTTCCCCATTCTCAGAAATTATTGTTTTTGTCTCGAACAAGTGGCAATCATTCAGAAACGCTTGTCAAAGCTGGATCATATACTTCTTTTGAAATCATCCACGGTAACTGTAGATGTGCCAAGTCTTGCCTCTTATAGTAGATTAAAATTCAAAAAGTGGTTATGCAGTCCATATTTGGACGATTCTGTTTTGCATAGAATGCCCTCAAAGTTCCTTTTTTACGACATACAATTCAAAACCTGTAAAACCTTGAAAAACAGTTAGAGGTGATCCTGTTCCGTATTTCTTATGCTATTTTGTTTAACCTTAACCTTACAGTTTTTGATTCTAACCTCAACCTTGTGCAGTTCTTGACCTAAACCATTCCACATACCTCTATAATTTTAGCGCAATCTCTATGGCAGGTAATTTGACTTTGCTGATCTACATTTTGGCCATTGAACTGTAATTTGTTCCAACAAAGCTGATTGAACAAACAAATCATAGGTTTTGACTTGTGTGTTGGTTGCATATTTTACCAGAATCAAATTTCATAGGTAAAATATGTTTGCAGAGTGCGTTTTATAGCTAATCTACCTTACCTTAGCATTTTTTTCATTTTTTTTCTAGCAGCTCAATGCATTAAAAACTTCAGTAAAAGTTTACTAAGATTTCAAGAATAAATATTCACTTTTTTGCTGACTTCCCATCGCATTCTTTGATATATTGATAAAATTTTTGGCCAGTGGAAGTGGAAAATAAATTTTCAAAAGTTCGTTTGATACTGGTTTTTGCTCCAAAATCAGTTTGTTGATTTTTTATAGATTCAAGGCAAATGAGTTCTTGAGAAATCGAATACGTCAAAAAATATTTGTAATTTGGAAATTATTTCTTCACTAAACAATTCAAATCGGGGTTAGCAATTTAGTAGTTTTTCTTGGGAAACCAAAAAATTCGTAAACAATAAGAGCAACGTTTTGAACGATCTGAAATGAGTATTCATAGCTTTCAAGGTGGAAATCAGCCTATGTGAAAGTATGCCCACTTACTCTATCAAGGACAAGACCAAAACTGCAAATTACTATGGGTTATTTTTTTCGGAAAACGCGGTGATAAAAACAAGGCAAAAATTTCCACTTCCGGTAGTGGAAAAAAGCAAGGCAATTGTTTTTCCCATTTTACCAGCTAAAAAATTGCTGAGCAACTTTTTCTGAGCATTCCTGTCACATTTCTACTCGTCTTGTTTGACTGACACATTGCTAATTACACATTTCCTTGCTTGTCAGTATTTGCAAAAAATTCTTGAAGCGATTTCTATAAGTAAAAGACCAGTTGGCTCTTGCCAGCGATCGTAAAAGGTACGAAAAACTCGAAATTCTCCTTTCTACCTCGAGAATCAGGTATTGCCTAGATTTATGCGCATTGCTTGGTACACACTAACCTTTGTCGACATCTTACTCAAGTGCTAAGCGCTGAGGGTATCGTCTTATAGCTCTCTTACCGTATTCGTATCGTAATTACCGTATCAGTTCGCAAATTTATTGTTCAAAACAGCTTTCAGGGGCGCCATACGATGCACCACCCATTATGGCTGTCATGGGTAAGGTTTTTTCCTGACTTTTTCGAGTTTTCTCCTCGTTTCTTTTACTTTTATGATCCCGACATCGGTTTTATTATAGGCAGCCGTCATCGTCGTCACTTTTTCACTGTTTTCACGAATAACGCACGCTGTCGGCAGAGATGACGATAATTCGGGTAGGTATAGATCGACACCCCTGTCACATCTATCCTCGCCGTGGGACGCAAAATTGCACATCCGGACGGTGGTGCACCGACCAGTGGCCGTTTTTTTTTTTACTTCACGGGAAGGTTCCGTAAAGTCTCGCCTTATTGCTTGCTATGTTCTCGCGCTCTTTTCATAAAATGCACTCAGCATGACGAGTTTCCATGTGTTTCTCCGAGTGCAAATTAGTACCCTCGTAGAGTAACCGGCGACGGCGGCGCGGATGCGGTTTGATTGGTGTGAATTCGAGAACAGAGCTAAATAATGCACTTTGAAACCTCTTCATTCTCTCTAGTGTTGAGTGCAATTTGGGATTTGCTCTAAGTGCAACCGTAATTACTCCCGAGAAAGTGTCTCTAGCAATTTTCTTGACCAGATCAAGCACGTCGTTGAATGAAAACAACGAGAGAAAATAAGCCGTAAATTACTCTCGAGAAACTACTATTTTTGGCGAAGTGCCCATTTACGATGAGCCCTTTAACCTGTTGAAGCTCTCATTTCAATCATAGAGGGAGTAACTGGGTATACAGTTCTTTTGTGGTCATCATTTCAGCGAAGTTCAAGGGACCAGTGAAATCTGAGGAAATCTAATTTTTCTCAAGAAAAACTTTATCCAACTGTATCTACGCCTTATGGGAAAACCAAAACTAATCAGCTAGGACAAATCACCGGAACTTCCGCAGGACAAGCCAAATTTGCTGGATTTTGTTCACTATTGCAAAAATGAAAACGTTGAAAATCGGAACTTTCGCAGGACTTTTTTCAAAATCCTGCGGAAATTCCGAAAAAGGCCAGAGGTTCCGCAGCAATTCGGCCTGCCAGAACTTCCGCAGGAGTTTGAATGTGTTGTTTAATATGATGTTGCCTCGCCAACAACTAGAGTGCATTATCGAACGTGTCAGTCGTAGTGCAGAGGATAGTAGGTGAGTCTCACAGTCAATAGAGTAAGGTTCAAATCTCGCCTGTGGGTTCTCTTTTGCTGTTGTGGTTGGCATTCATCGGAACTTAAGTAGGACCTCGTTTCGGAACTTCCGCAGGTGGCCCGGCGGAACTTCCGCAGGTGGCCCAGCGGAACTTCCGCAAGCGCTCTGCGGAAGTTCAGGCCATTTGTCTGAGTAACGTAATTTTTGACGCCATTATATCCCCTAGATTTCCACAACTTTGTTACCATTCCATTTTCAGTTAAATAAATCTGTGAACTGAATTAGCTCGGATTTTAGCAGGTAGCATTTTGTATTCAATGATCTTACGAATGGTAGGCTGGGTTCTCTTCGCAGAATTTGGGGAGCTTGTTTATCAAAAAAGTGTTTACGGGTTACTTTTTAGAATTATCGATTTCCTTCAATCAACCAATCTTCTCTTTTTGTTTTTTCATAAGCTTTAAAATTATGCTTTCTGAAGGAAGTTTAGTGATTTCACGAGTTGTATTCAATATAGTGTCCCTGCGGTGAAGACAACATTTTCGCGTAATTGCCATGCTTATGCATGCGAAGAACTTCCATGCGACTTGGGCTTGTAGAAAAGCCCTAGAGAGAAATTGTCAACAAGACAAGAACATACTATAAAACCCTTAAATCTATACCAGTCTAGACTGTACTGTTTATACTGTAGACAGAAAATATTCTCACAATAGTGTACAGGCCAGTAAATAAGCTCTGCGGAAGCTCCCAACACGAGGAAACTTCCCGAAAGCCTTATTTAGGGAACTTCCCGAAAATGACAGTGGTACTTCCGCAGGTGATCCTCCGGAAATTCTGCTGAAGCCTTCGGGAAGTTCCCATGAATTGTCTGAGCTCTGCTTGTTCGACTCTACCCATATCTTCAAATTTTACCTTTTTCAGTGACCTGCGCCGAAGTCGATGCCGACATCGTGTTCGTCATCGACATCACTTCATCAAACAACACAGCATTTCTCATCCAACAACATCGTCTGTTGCGCACTCTCAAGTAAGCTGCGCTTCGGCTTTAATCTGGACACAAAGCGGGAATCAGCTTTGTTCCATTCGAAAGCCACTCAAGATCTTGTTCGGCGGCGGATAACATAATCGCAGACACTAATTGGAGGGTCTTAGGGCTATCACTGATGACCGCTTTGTGTCATCGCAATGCTTAATACGACATTCTCTTCATTGTTTTTTTTTTCAGACGGCTAGCAAACGTCTTGAAAGATCGATCGGTACGCTATGGAGTGATAGGATTTAGCAAACAGCCGGAACTGTTGCTTGAACTCGAATCACCGTTTGCTACCGATACGGAACGGGTACGTTGAAATCATTAAAAATCATTTTCATCATCAGCAAAATCTGCCCCATTTGTTGTGGTGGAAATTTGCCCGTTTAGCATGTCGTACCGTCCTGGAAAATCTGGTAAATGACACGAGGAAATTGAGATTAGACCCTTTTACGGCAGAATTTCGTTTTCCAGATTTTCACCTTTTCGGGGCCTTCTCGTCATGAGATCCATATCTGGACTTTTCAGCGCATGAAAATGGCGAAAATGAGCTTTTTTCAAGCATTCCAGATCCGAATTCAGTGAAGATACGCCGGAAAAAGCCGCGTCCCGCCTTCCCCGTTCCACGCCCCGCCCATTCCTCCACTGAATGCGGACCTTCTTAAGAAGTTCATTTTCGCCATTTTCATGCGCTGAAAAGCCCAGATATGGGTTTCTCATGGCGAGAAAGCCCCGAAAAGGTGAAAATTGGAAAACGGAATTCTGCCGAGCCGCTGCCTTTAAAAACTAAAGACTTTCTAATAACTTAAAGTACTTTGCAATCACTCTTTTCGTGCAAATGCACCATATGTCTCAGGATTTTAATGAATAGATTTCTAATATTTCTGAGCTCGAGACTGAGTTAATTCCATTCCCTAAAAGCCAAAAATGTAAAGCAACAAATCTTGCCAAACCTGTGCAATTTCTTTATTGTGGGTTACGATATGTATGGTACGCAACCTGCACTAACTCAACGAAAAGGAGGTTCTTGACATGTTGAACAAGTCATGCCATAACCATCTCTCACGATAGCAACATAGTAGGGTTACGGTAGCCAAAAAATAGGTCTTACATTGACTTATAAAGCTCAACTCTAAGAATGAATATGATTGTCGTGATTAGCACGCCAAATACATCACTTATGCAAAGTTACAGCGAACCCTTAGCTTGCCCACATACCGTACACCTACCGTAACCCAAAAAGGCGCTACCAAGAAAAATGAGTACTGCATTCCGTTGAATATGAAAAGTGCCGAAAGCTTTTGCAAAACTAGTGGTGTAACTGAAGCATATGAAGCGCAATGAGGCTAAAAATACGAGAATAAAGATCACAAATTTATTAGTTACACTTACAGAAATTTCTTCTTGCGACCATCAATACCTTCCGTATTGCTTCTTCCAGAATTTCCTATGATTCCATTCCTATGGAAAGTAAACAAACATCGATAGTATGCATCTTGATTGCGCAGCATTTTCCATGTAGAAAAAGTTCCTCTGAGGATAATTGCACTTCTTCGCACAGGAATCTCGATTCGCATTTCTACGTTTATGTAAGAACAATCGCGGGGGAAATCCTTTTTCTTTCAGTAAAACACTAGCAAATCAGCATTCCTACGCAATGTTTTGGGGAACCCCTTCCTACATGTTTGGGGAACCAAACATTTCTAAAATAGTTTGGAGAAAGATTGAACGAAAAATCAAATAAAAACCGAAACTTTCGATGCACGCACTAGCACCGTGCCAGCGAGGTTCCAGTTCCGATCCACTGCTGTGCTGGCGCCGTGCCGGGTCGATCGATAATTACATGCGCACTATATTCCGGCACTATGCTAGCGAGCAGCTGGGCCGGCGTCAACAAACGATGAAGAAATAGCAACTTTCGAGTGTTTCAGGTCTCCGACGTGATCTCAACGCTTAAACCAAAACAGTCAACTTCAAACTCAGCAGCCAAAGCTCTAGAAGAGGCCATGTCATTATTTTTCGAATCAAGAACTGCTGGTCAAAGACGAAAAGTGGTCATTTTGGCTCATGACGGGCTCAACACTGACCTCGTCGCAGAAACTTTGGAAGCAGTGTAAGCCGTTTCATATTTACAGTCTTCCCTTATCCAGCCGCCACTTTCTGCAATTGCACCAATTTCATTTGCGTTAACAAGACGATAGATCTACCTCCTTTTCCATTTTTTTACATGCAATCGTTTTCCTATCATTTTACCTACGTTTAATATCATCTCTCTATAACGAGAGTAACTTTATCGCCACCAGATCCTAAAAATGGTGCGATTACACAATTTGACTGTTGAATGGGATGACAGTAAGCTGGTATAGAATATAGTTGTGCATTTGCAGATCGAATGTGGAAAAACTCGGAGCTACCACGTTTGCTATCACAGGCAGTTCACGTCCGAATTCATACGCTTTGTTAGGATATACTGGCGCCAGAGAGCGCATATTTATTTCAGCCGCTGATAGACAAGTGTTCCAGGAAACACTCGATGAGGTACGGTAATGTTTTCATACTGTAAATTATTTTTTTGCGTTTCTACATTAAGTTATTTAAAATCATATCATGTTGGCAAGAGAAAATCCTACAAGAATTCGCACTCTCATATTTCATGTTTCATTATCTGAGAGAAAAGAACGGGCAGAAGCAAAGAAGTTGAAATATGTAGTTTGCTTACCATTGGCTGCTAGTGCTAGCACGAGGACAGCAGCCAATGGCAGCGGCGCGAAGCTGCTCCGCTATGATTGGCTGCCATATGGCGTGACGTGAGTACAGCAGCCAATGGCAACGAGCTGCTCTACTACCATTGGCTGAAATGTGTAACGACACTTTTCGTTTTGGCAAAATGCCAGACTTATTTGTGGGGCATAGAGTAGGAAGCGCACTCTTGCAATCTGAGTAATCCTATTGGAATATAATCAATACTGCTCAAGCGCTTTCCACAGAAATGGGCAGTTTTTTTTTGAAGTCATATTTTCTGCTATTTTTGACTTTTTTGAAGACAAGGTAATCGACTCATTGGATATTCAAATTTTTTTTCAACGTGAAATGGCCAACATGCCAAAAGTCATGTTTGCGCAGAATGTATTTCATTTGCGCATAAATGAAATGGCTTATGAAGTGTGACCGGATCTATTATAACACACATAGTTTTCTTTTATAGAGAATGCCCATATATAGTATGATTCCATATATGTCTACGAAAACTAGACGCCATTCAAAGTGAAAGTTGACTGTTACATTGCCTCGTTATTGAACCTGCTTGACATCGATAAGAAATAGCCATTCGAAAGCGAATGCACTAGTTTTTTGCAAAGTGTATATACGGGAATTCTGGCGCCACGAGGCTAAGCGATCTTAATCTTTTTGAAGTGCCTTTTTTCAGTGGCTGGCTTTGATTACACTTCTAAGATTTCCTTTCTCATGTTGTAGGGCTTGTTTTAGTCGAAACATGCAGCAATTTTGTTGGAATGTTTCAGGGAGCAATGATGCAATGCCTGGGTCAATTTTATTTTTTAGTAAGGATAAACTTTACAAAGATAACAAATTTTAAAGAGATTTTATATAAAGAAAGCTAACAGCTAATTCCCTTACATGTCACATGAAAAGTATGTAGTACATGTCTTCTGATAACGTGGACTCAGAAACTGTGAAGAATCTAATGGAGCACAAAATGTTGTGTAAGGCAGGGGGGGGGGGAGGGAAGTAGAGGGAAGGAATGGGAAGAAAAGCAGGAAGCAAGTATAAAACGTGATTCACTGAAATAAAACAATTGCCATGTGTTTCAATTCAAATTTAATGCAGTATTCATCACTAAAAGTATTGGTTCCCCATGTAAAATTTATTTCGAGGGTTTCCATGTTACCCCCCCCCCTCATTTGGCAGAAGAAAATGTTTTGCAGTGGAATGGAAGATTGCTCCTAAATGTGAAAAAATTTTCAGGGGAAAAATGCCATCACATCAGAAAAATAGATCACCCTAAGGGCCAGGCATACTTCACGCGATTTCAGTCTCGACGCGATTCGGCAATATTCCAACTGTCCATAACACACTGTAAGCACATATCAAATGACAAAAGATAGGGCATTTTTATTAAACCACGCAACTTCTACACACTTTGTATGTGCAGTTTGCTAGTGTTGGATATGAAGACTTCTGGCGAGTTGCCAAATCGGTCGCGACTGAAATCGCGTGAAATATGCCTGGCCCTTTAGTAGCAATGCCATTATCTTATATATAAAGCTGAATGTCTGTTTGTATGTATGTCTGTCTGTCTGTATGTATGTCTGTCTATGTGTACCTATGTTCCGAATAGAAAATTCCATTTCTGAACCGATCGGGACCAAACTTGGCACACATACACTTCGGGCCCCGGCGGGTGTCATAGGCTACTTTTCGTATCGATCGATATCGATTTTATCGATTTTTTGCAAAATTTGAGCTACGGGGCTGGGAGTTGGCACAGGGGGGTAAGTGAGCATGGGGATTCCGAATACATAATTAGTTTTTAAAATCGTGCATTACTTTTATCGATTTTATCGATTTTTTTCAAAGTTTGAGCTACGGGGCTGGGAGTTGGCACAGGGGGGTAAGTGAGCATGGGGATTCCGAATACAATATTAGTTTTTAAAATCGTGCATTACTTTTATCGATTTTATCGATTTTTTTGCAAAATTTGAGCTAGGGGGCTGGGATTTGGCTCGGAACATACGGCTGAGCCGGGTAAGCCAGCTAGTGCTTCTTAATTTCCCGGGCGCCGTAGTGGGCCTTTTTTCGCACACTTTTGATTTCGACCACAAAAGGCATTTAAAATCTTGTTATTTTCAGCCAAAAATTGCAAAGTGAAGATTTGAGATAACTTCCATTGACCTCAAAGAAAATCATTGGATATTGAATTTTATCAATTTATTGCTTTGTTTTCACATTATTTATCGCAACAGCACCCACAGAAGAGACAAGTATAGTCGTTTTTTATTTAAAAAATTGAATATTTTCAGGCTCTTGGAGTTTGCACGCCACCGTCTGAAGAAACTCCATCATCAAGGGAATTAAAAAAGAGGCTTCACGGAGTGAGGGGCCGTCGAGCCGATGATGAGAAGCTGGTATTTACACCAGGACAAAAATGCGGCTTCGATAAGGTAAATAAGCGCGATTTTCTAAAATATATTTCTGTAAAATTTCAAAATTTCTCTATTGAAATATTTTTAGTTAGGCTTTTGAGTTTATTTCCAATGAAAAATTAAAAGAAAAGCAAAAACATTTCAAAGCGATGTGGTCGAAATGAACTTCTTTCAAAACTGATGTTCTTCTTGAAGTAAAACTTCTAAAAATAAACCAATATTAACTTTCGACGGTTGACTGTGCTTCTAAGTTTTTTTTATCAATTTGATTAGCATCAAAAAATTGAAAATTCTCACTAGCGCTGATTTTTTATGTTCTACTTGAACGAATTGTTATTTTTCACCAAATTTTTTAAAATTTGCTCAGATCGATCTCGCGCTTGTGCTCGACACATCCGGCTCAGTTTTTCGAGTTTTCGAAGATCAACGTCAAATCGCTCTCGATATGCTCGATGAAATTCCCACCACGGCTTACGACAATGCGGTTCAGGTATGCAATCAAGCGATTCCCACATTTCAGAAATCAATGATGCTCGTTTTATTGTAGGTGTCTGTTACCCGTTTTGCCGCAAATGCGGACGTCATGCTCCCATTCCTACGTGGACGTTCCCTTGATGAAATCAAAGACACCGTCAAAGAAGTGAAATTTACCGGGCAAAATACCCGTATTGCCGGTGCGGTTGAGATTGCGCTCGATGAAATGGAAAGGGCTAGGAGAAAGGATGCTCGGCAGGTATTTTTGAGCGAGAAAAAAATTGAGGAGGGGGGATGACAGGTAAAATTTTCCAATCAATATCTTTAGGTATTCGTTCTCATTTCCGATGGCCATGGGCAAGAATACTGGAATGTTGTGCAAGCTACAGGAAAACGACTACAGGTGCATAAGCCTGGAACATTATAACTTCAAAAGTTCAGATTTTTGATAATTTCAAAAATTTCCCTTCAGGACGCCAATGCAGAACTATTTGCTGTGTCAGCTAGTCGAGACTATAATGAACAAGAATTGCTGATCTATGTTGGTGATAAAAGTCGAGTGTTCGTCGGAGATCAGTACACCAAGTGAGTTGTCCGCAAAAGTGAAAAAAATAATTTGTTTCTCATAAGAATGTCGAATTTTTTTCAACCAAACCTCGTGTACAGTCCTCGAAAATCTATTTGTTGAGTCCAAAAAATCGATTTCAGATCTTATTTGTAATTGTGGTTGCACAAAAGAATCCGTTACTCTAACCCAGAATTATTTTCTTCCCTAATTATTTTCTTCCCTAGCAAAAGTAAATTTCAATGGTCTTAATTTTACATAATCCAAAATCCATTCAAAAATATTCAATGTCGCATTTTCTAGAATTTTCGGTTATTTTGAACTGTCCTTTGGACTTTTCTAGCATTTTATAATAGGAGTTCTTGATCATTCTTTTTAAAAGTATATTATTCTTCCTCTAAAATCTTTAGAAATATTCCTCTTTTTCCAAATTATTTTTTACGATTCTTTTTAGACGTAGTTGTCGTAACAGACATACGTACTTCATAGCTCACTTTTAGCATGCTTGCATTCCAGAAATATAATCATTTTTCTTCACAAATTTTTTTCAGTTTCCTGCCTACTATCACCTCTTATATGAATGATTGCGTGAGTAAAAGTGGTGGAAAGACCCTCGCACGTCTTCAATCGAAATTCAAAACTACAAGTTCTTTCTCATTTTCAGAGGTGATTTAATTTTCCAACTTTATATAACATTTTCCGTCTTTTTATAGCCGGAAAAAAATCTGAAAAATTATGAATAATTTTTTTCAGGAAACTGCAGCAACTAAACGCTTCTCGCTACTTAACATTCTTGCCTCCACCTCTACGATTGAACCAACTTTCACAGAAGTTACTGAATTCACAGAAGTTACTGAAAATTCGCTTCCCAACGAAGCTGAGGAAGAAACCACAAGCGATGGTGGCTTTTTCACTGAGGAAGCATCCGGGAATGAGAACAGTGTTTCCACAACGAGTAAGTTTTTTCGGACAAACCCCTCCCATCTGGGGGATTTTTACCCATTACAGTTGAGCCCATCTGGCCAATTACTGATGGTTTTGATGACGGCGATGTTCAAGTGGTTGATGGTGTAAGAGAAACCAACGAAGGTTCGGACGAGGTTTCACGCGCCAGACAGAGAGATCTAGCGGTAAACATTGCATTTTCCTGGTTCTTCTCATGAATTTTTGCAAAATTTTCGTTTTAGGAGCCACAATCCTGTGATGTCGACCTTGTCATGATCATTGACACTTCATCAAGCGTTGAGGACACTTTCAAAAAGGAGATTGCAGTATGCAAATTTTTAAAGAGCAACCTTAAGTGAAATTTTTTTCAATATTTTCAGCTCGCAAATCGTACTGCAGAACTGTTTGCTCCTAAAGATTTCTCATTTGGAAAAATACAAGTTGGAGCTGTAAGCTTTTCGAGGGTTAGTCATTTTCATTCTTACAGCTCCCGTTATAGAGCAAGATGTCGAGAAAAATTTTGAATTTTCACTTGATTAGTTTATTTTCTCCCCAAAAAATTAAGTTGTTTTGCTTTTTTTGCTAGAAAATTTTTGACTGCATACTCCATACATACTAAAAACTTAGGTCTTTTATTTTTTTTTCAGAATTCACGACTAGAGCTCAAATTTGGCAGAAATACTCGTGATTTTGTTCTACATAGATTTGCAAAAATTCGAAACACAGCAGGTCCCACTCCGTCTGTTTCTGGTGCTCGTCTTTCTATACAGGTAAGGTACTTGAGATGATTGGCGAAGGTTCTCGAGCGTTTTTACAGATTTCAATTATTTATTTATTGTCGAAAAATTTGATATCACTTGCAAGATAGTGGTCAAAATGTTTTATGCTCTTGGAAACTAGTTACTGAGAGAAAAAGGGAAGTTAAATCTTAAAGAAGATCCAGTATTAGTATTTATAAAGAACATGTTCCTTTCAACCAAAACCAAAATTTTAATTGATTTTAAAAACTTGATTATTATAATGTAAGCGTTTAGCGGCTTGTCGCAACTCGACGACCTTCAGCCCGTCTTGTTGTTGTCCTTCTTACCGACAGTATAAATCAGGATCGATGGCGTGAGCTGATAGAAACATCTATGTGAGTTTTTTCAAATTTCAAGACTAGGTTTCCAATTTAAGACATTTACTATCGTTTATTATCATATATAGTCGACCTACCCTTTGATTCAACTGGCTTGGCGCATGGAAGGCGGGGCTTCGTGACCTAATTAAGGCTAACGCCGACTGCGCCTCTTCCTCGCGCGTGCTCTCTGATCATTACCTAGCCTGCGCCAAGCCAGTTGAATCAAAGGGTAAAATGTGCTTCATGACTTGTCCAAGAAGTTCTATCCCAATAGTATAACAAAATGCAAAAATCTGCTAATAATTTCGAAAACGCCTCGTTTTGGCAGAACGCCCACAGAGAGCGTGCGCACCCTCCATGCTCCCCACACTCTCTCGTTTTTGTCTGACTGCGCAGTCGACTTCATTCCCAATAGAACCAATTCCGCTCTTCCGTTTATAACTTAATATAAAAGTACACTATGCGCCCAAGAAGTATATTCATAAATACGAGCAAAAGCAAGAATTTTTTTTATTTTCAATTTTTAGGAATATTCACGATGTACCAAACAGCGCACTTTTGGCCTACACACCAAATCGCACCTTCTCTGAGCGTGAACTACAGGTGGGTAAGCCCTTAGCTGTAAATTTGCAAAGAAAAACAACTAAACTTTAGGAGTGGGCTGGCGAAAGAGCCAAAGTTTTCCTATCTGAAGAAGAAAACAAGTTTCTACATGCTGTAAATAAGGAAGTCAAGCGCTGCGGAAAGAGCGCTACCGTAAGCGGAGCTGGTGAAGTAGAGGAAATTGCCAAGAAAAGCGACAGAAAACTTCAAACAGTGGAATGGACAGTGGCACGGGATGAGATGCCGACATCTCGTTCACCTCCTAGAGCTACCTCATCTCCTAGAGCTACCTCATCTCCTAGTGCTACCACTACTACTTCTGAGCCAGAAACAACGACCAGCAGGGTTACAGGAAGAGGCCTGAGGACGAGGACTTCTTCTGCTGGACAGGTGGTATGTGTATCTCTGTTTTTATTTTTCATAAATTTTTTGTTTCTATACGTTTTTAACTGTGAAAATAGATATATTTTTGTTAGATTGTCACACTAGTATCGGTGTCTGAGAGATTTTATCCGGAATTCAAATAGTAGCGTTAGTCACATTCTCGAAAAGGAATTTTGGCATGAATTCAAGAATTTCGACAGCTTAAAGGCAGCGTCCGGGCAAGATCCGCCCACCCAGGTTAGCACATAGTTGTAAAGCGGGCCCCATGAGTATCTGATCTGCGTTGGTCCGATCCTTTGACGTGGTCTCTAAAAGGAGATACGGGCCTGTGATACGTATCACAAACCTCCCGCAGAGGACGTGTGCTCACGCATCGATCGATCATGGATTGCAACTGCACCCATGCAGTTGCAGCTCCTCCTCAGTGGTGAGCCGGGGGAATAAACAATCCGAAACTCGTCCGCGTCCTCAAAGCAGGATCCCCAGGAATTAGGTTTTTTGAGGGTTTTGGATAATTTGAACTTTATAACCGTAATCAGGGCCACGGGAAGGCCCTAGGACGACAAAAACATGAGAGGCAAAATTTTGCCCGGACGCTGCCTTTAACCCCTAAATTCCAAAGAAAGGTGCGTGGCTGCCGTCACGACTGGAATAAATCATAACACATCGCTGATTTGAAATTTTAAAACATTTATAAAGTATTTTAGCCATTCACATGTGACATTTTTCAAATGATATTCTTTATTCCTTGAGTTTTTTTAAAATATCTCTTTTACCTTGCAAAGTATAGGGTTCAAATATGAATCGTTGTTCATTGCAAGGTCTCTAAATATTTGTCATGTGATTTACTACTCGCAAAAACATTGATAAAAAGTATACTCCAAAAGTATGCCATGGTTTGAATTATCATCAATTGCGCGATTCATGGGAACAATTGTCCAAAATTTTGATTTAATTGTGGCTTGGTGGCTGCTGATAGTTTTCGACCTTGGTGAGTACCATTTTTACAAAAATGATTATTCGAATCCAAAACCCGTTTCCTTTTTCACTGCAAGGTTTTTTTTGGGTATTTGCATGCAAAAATCTTGCAGAATAAATTTTTTCTAATCTTGCTTCGAAATGATTCTTGTTATAAATGTAAGGGGGTAAGCCGAAAAAGGTGCGAAATTTCCGAAATTGCTTAGACTTTCGTCGAAATTATCAAATGAAAAGCTGTTTGAAAAGATATGTAAGTAATCTGGGGTCATAGAGATGATCCGTTCTTTTCATCACTTGAATCTGCTTGATTTAGGCTACAAGAATCAGTACGAGCACTACCCTAAGGTCAACACAGGAAATTGCCAGCACTACTCTAAGGCAACGTACCAGTACTACTCCAAGGCCAAGAACCAGCACTTCTCGACGTCCTACCACCATTGAACTTGATCCCGTTACTGCTGATCTGATCACCGAGGGATCAGCAGAGTCAAGTGGCGAGAGCTCTGGGGTTTCTCCGATACCACAAAAACTGAAGAGGATTAAAACAACTACTACCATTGAAGCTTTGTTGGAGAGTACCACTGAAGCTGAAGACAATACTGTTACTGACGCTACTGATGGTGAGAGTTTGATCTTTTTGCAAAATCTGGGTACGTATCTTTCGAGATGTCTGGAAGGACTATAATCAGGCCTCTGTTTAACCAGCAGCTCATATGAGTCAGTCATGGACGAGAAATACACTTTTAAACACTAGCCCAAACCGTAATCTTTTCGGTTCGAGTACGGTAAGAGCACGGTCTCTGAAGTTTAGAGTCAGATTCTCGGCCATTAAAAATATGAATTACCATTTAGCTAAGGCTGCAATTACTTCACATGAAAAACCTGAGTACCCTTGACTTTATCTGTCCACTACTTTCCGCTAATAACATTTATCCTCATAGGTGAAGGTTCCGGATTGCAAACGCCATCAGCTGATGAACGCCGCGCCCAAGGTATAAGGACCGCTAAGGATTTGCCAAAGATTGAGGAAGCAAAGCATGGTTAGGCTGTTTTGGCATGGTTCCAAGAAAAAACTTGATGTTTCCTATTTAGCAGAAGCAATATTTGAGAAATCAGGACCTAGACCCATTTTACCCTGCTTAACCGATTTAATGTTCGTTATCGATACTTCCACCAGCGTTGAAGGTGAATTCCAAAGGCAGCTGCAGTTCGCTGTGGATCTGGTAAGTTTGGAAGTCCTACGGTACTTTTTGCGACCCCGCCTATAATCGTGGTAAAAAAGTGTACAAAATTGACCATTTTTAGGTAAAACGGCTACCTACTGAAGATTTTGAACATAGAGTTCGTGTCGGTGTTGTTGTTTTCAATCAAAAAGCATCGCTTGTGCTGCACCTGAATGAGCCACGTTCAAGGTGAGCAATATGACAAGACGACTCTTTTGCACCACTACAGTATGCTACCGCAGACCTCACGAACATGTGTTATTGCTGACGCTTAGTTACACTTAGAGGGGTTTTCTCTACCATCGCTAAAGCAATAAGCGAAAGAGTTTAGTTGGCGCACTTTCTCCCCATGTCGACGCGCGCGATTACGGTAGCATACGGTATGCGTGTGCAAAAGGGCCCATTTTCTTGGCTTTTGCTATTTGAATATTTTCTTTTCTACGAATAAAATAAGTATGTATAGATCAGCGGTACTGGACTCCTTGCTTTCAACAAATTATTCTGGCGGAAGTACTTCAGTAGCCAGCGGTGTAAACATGGCAGTCGACGAGATAGAAAAATACCGCCGAAAAGATGCTCGGTATTTTTAAACGTCAGATTACTGCACTTTCTGGAAACACCGTAATTCAGCCTGATGCTTGTGCTGATCTCCGATGGAAATAGTCAAGATCATTGGGATGAAGTGATCAGATCGTCAAATAGACTACGAACTACCGGAGCTGATGTCTATGCTGTGACGATCAGTAAGAAATACATGTTCAGGTATCTTACCAAATATTGGATTTCTGCCAAAAATCAAGAACTCATTTTCAGAGAGCTAGAGCTATATGCCGGGGACAAATTGCGTGTTTACATCGACGCTAGAGTTCGACAATTCTTGGACGAAACTGAAAAAGCCGTCACACATTGTGAAGGAGCATCTAGTGTAGGGCCACTTTTGCCTCTATAATAATTTTTTTCTAGTTTCTATATTTTCCAGGGTTCATCCCTCCGGCTGGTTCTACAAGCTCCAAAGTAAGTTCAAGACAGACTAGGACTATGTCGGATAATTTTTTACCTTTTCCTCTAGATCATGCTCTTCTCTCGTTGATTTGTTGATTATTCTGGATACTTCTGCATCCGCGGAAGATTTCTTCAAGGAGAAGCAGGTAGCTGTGGACCTGCTTAGAGTGCTGCCTGAGAGTGTGTTCGAGGTGAGTTTCGCGACATATTGTTGATACCTGGAATTTTATAATGGTATGAAGCAGTGGCGTACCCAGGATTTCGGCTCGGAGGTGGGGGGGGGGGGGGCAACAAATATATTTTTCCGATAAAGGTGCGTCAGCCGCGCACTCCGAAGATTTTTTTTTGATATGCTCCCTAGAATCTTCGCGGGCTTAGAACCCTGAAATTTCAAAAAAGAGGGTTGGCGTCAGCCACCCGAAAAAAGATTTTTTTATAAGGCTAAAATTTTTTTAAAAATTTTAAAAATCGTTTCAAATATTTACAAGTGCAGACAAGTCATTTGCACAACTTTAGAACCCATGTAAGCAACTTTCAAAAACTTCGCGACCCGTCCTTGGGGGGGGGGGGGGGCACTGGTATGAAGGTATGAAGCACGATTTCTTCCTAAAAATTTCGCTCATAATGGTGGTTTATCTCAAAAACAAATGTATAGTTCGAATCTTGAACAACTCATTCACAAACTAATTTTTGCAAAATTTGCGAAAATAAAAGAATTTTATACTCAGCGAGTTTTTAATAGAGTTTTTTTATATAAATATAACATTGAATGATTCCAAAAAATGCTCTTCTAGAAACGCCTTTCTGTCTCAATCGTTACGTTTGCAAACACTTCATCTGTTTCTTCGTCATTTGGACTGCTGCCAAAGGATGAGGTCGTATTCGAACTGGAAAGGATTGGAAATTCAACTGGTCCACCAAGTCTTGCTTCTGGCTCTACTGCAGCTTCTGTGGTACAAGAATTCGGCAAAAATGTTTTTTTTTTTCGAAATGCATATTTTTTTCAGGAGATCAAAGCACATAGACGAGATAACTCAAGAGTTATGGTTATTATCGTATCCAATGGACAAGGTGGTGAAGATAAATTTGAAGAAGTAAAGGTACGTTCAAACTTGAGAAATTGCAATTATGAGTTTTGTGGCATTGGAAAATTCCAGAAAACATCAGCTGCTCTAAAATCTTCTGGAGCAGAAATCTTCGCAGTATCGTTGTCAGACACCCCGAATGTGGATAAACTCAGAGAATATACTGGAAGCAACGAAAGACTATATGTAGCTGAAAAATCCGACAAATTCATTCAGGTACAGCCTTTTTCACTACTCTTATCTTTACTGCTGACAAAATTCTGTTCAGGATATCGGAAGCGCAATATTATCATGCTCTAGTGCCAGTGGTGTTAATAAGTACATAATTTCATTCCACCCTCAAATGTAATAAATCCTAAAATTTTAATTTTGCAGCGTTGAGACAGAAGATGCATTGCGGCGTCCTGATATCGATTTCAATGAAAAACTGGAGCAATTCAGACTGGGTGGCAGCAGGAAAAAGTAGTTTTTTGTAAATTTTGATAATTTCCATAAGATCAGGAGTAAATGGTTTGTTATAGGTGCAAATACGATAAGATGGATCTACAAATAATTTTGGATGCATCATCTTCACGAAAGGAGGTAACTACAAAGAAGAATTAGGAGATGACCCTTTCGCACCGCTACAGTATGCTATCATAACCATAGCAACATAAGCAAAAAATTACGTACAACCCGTTTTTGCTTGATTGTACAGTCATACTGGCGATAAAAACGACAACAAAGCACGTAACCATCGTCATTTTGTAGAGCCACGCGAGATTACGGTAGCATACTACGGTATATGGGTGCAAAACGTCCACAACCCTATTTTACTGCGAAAAACACATATTTGACTGCGAAAAAAGTATCGTTTCCAGGTTTTCGAACATCAACGTGAATTGGCATTATCACTTATTGAACGTCTTCCAATCTCGGCTGATGGATCTCATGTTGCGGTTGGAGTCAGCAGTTTTAATTCGGTTCCAACTCTGAGACAAAGCCTCGGTCTTGGCAGAGATAAGGCCGTAAGTTTAAATTATTTTTTATTGAAACAAATTCTGGAATAAGATTTATGTTTCGAAGAGGATGTTGTAAATCCCGTCTGCTCATTATCTGGAGGTTATTATTTTGATTTTCACATCAAGGGATCGGTTGAATAAAATATTTTGCATTTTCATGAAAAAATTTCCATAAGCTATACAAGCTGAATCCCTCTTCTACTAAAAAATTAATCGAAGCTGAATTTGGCCTGACCTAATGGATGTTCTTTTTTTGTTGTTGTTTTCTTCGTTACTGTTTATGTCCAAAGTACTTTGGTTGGTTGTTTTAGATGTGGCACGCATTGTATGTATTGAATAAATCAACAAATAAATCTAAAAATTCCAATAATGACCCTTCTTAGACGATCCGATCTGCTATCGAATCCATAAAATACAAAGGAGGATCGACTTTGACTGCACAAGCTGTGGATTTAAGCATCGATGATCTCCTGCGAGGAAAAAGGCCAGAAGCATTACAGGTTCGTCATTCTCGAATTTTCTCCAAACTTTGTATTTAAAATTTCCAAATTTTTTAGGTCGTAGTGCTTATGAACGACGGAATGTCGCAAGATCCTTGGGATAGAGTGCTTTCTACAAGTGAGAGATTAGCTGCCACCAAAGCTGAACGATTCGGAGTTGCTCTTGGGAAAGAGGTGATACGAGTCAATTTTTGGGTCTAAACTAGGTAAATGCATTTTTCAGGTTGACTTGCGTGAGCTACATCATTATATTGGCCGTAATGATAGGATCTACAGAGATGGTTCCACAGAAAAGTTGGTTTTCAATTTTAACTGTAAAAAAAATTGTACAGCATTTTTAATAATCTTTCTGCGAACTTTAAATTACTTCATTGTAAAAGAAAAAGTTCCAAGTATTCGAATAGATAATTCGATGCTTGCAAATTAGATGTATTTCGGATAAGGAATAGAAAAAAATCAACTAGATTAGTAAATCCGTCCCTAACAAAACTGATATCTCCTTTCTGACCCGAGACCAAAAAAATATACCCTTTGATTCAACTGTTTGGCGGCTGGAAGGCGGGGCTTTGTAACCTCGATCGATCGAGGCCGCTCGCGCCCGCGACGCAGTCTGCGTCTCTCCCGCTTGCGTACTCTCTGAACTGACCTAGCCTTAACTAGGCCACGAAGCCCTACCTTCCAGCCGCCAAGTCAGTTTAATTAAAGGGTACAAATTTTTCTTGAATTATTCCATGAATGGGAAGTTGGTTCTAAAAAAAAATATTAATAGATATCTGCTGCTCGCTCAATGAAGTTTTGTTTACAGGTTCTTAAACGATATTGTTGCACTGCTTGAGGGAGAAAAGGATTGTCCTGAGGAGACTGCTCAAAGAGAGGTTTTTTTATTTAATGATTTAACTTTTCTTGCAAAATTGCTAGTTGAAATCCTCGTCTGAGGAATTCTACCAACAGCTTTTTAGAAAAAAAATCTTCAGCATTTAACCTTTGATTCAACTGGCGGCTGGGAGCCGGAAATCTGTGACCTACTTAAGGCCGCTCGCGCCCGCAACGCAGTCTGCGTCTCTCCCGTGCGCGTGCTGTCTAATCATTACCTAACCTTAATTAGGTCAAGAAGCCCCGCCTTCCAGCCGCCAAGCCAGTTGAATCAAAGGGTATTTGATTTAACATCTCACGAGATGAACCATTTTCCAGGGCATTATACCTCGTCGTCATCAGTTCTCAACTGACGAATGCGAAGGTGCAAATCTTGACCTAGTAGTGGTATTTGATAACACGGAGAAATCACCGAATAAGCGAGATTCAGCTATAAATGCCAATAGATATCTTCTGCTTGATGTACTCGGTAAGTATCTTACCATATTTGATCCGTAACCTCAAAAAAGTATGGTTTAGGATCGCTAAAACATGGCGCAAGAGTGCGTGTTTCTCTGATCTCATTCTATCCGCGACCACAGATCACAGTAGACTTTACGGATATTTCTGAAAGGGATAAAATGATTGCTAAGGTAGGGAAGTTTCCTACTTTTGAGAATTTTATTTGTCTGTTTATCAAAAATATACTTGCGGAAGGGGACGAGTAGCGTAGTGGCATGAGGAGCCCCTATGACCAGATCGGATACAGGTTCGATCCCCGACCCTGGGCCAACCAAGCCCTCTACCCTCCGGAGCCGGTGAATTGAGGGTATTGAAGAACGCCGAATCCTTTATCCTTTATTCATACTTGCGCAAAGCCCAACAACCGAATTGTGAAATAATTACTGGAAAAGGACCAGTCACGAATTAGAAAACATTGGGTACAATACAATTTTTGAAAACTGGTTTTTTAGATCGAGGCTATCAAAACTATCAATGAAGAGCCTTCATATTCTGATGCTGTCTCTTTGGCACTTGATCACCTGCATAAGGAAGGACGGTGAGCTTTCTTTAAGGTTTATTTTTTATTTTATTTATGAAAAAATTTAATTTGATACTTCAGAGCCGACGCCAAAGCTTCCATCATTATTCTTGGAAATGGAAAAGGCAATGACACTTTTGAGGAGAGAATAGCTGTTGCTAATCGAATGAAAGAGGTAAAATTTGCATCAGGAAGTCAGAATTATTCTATTAAACCAAAATCGCATGGTTTTGAGTTTGTTTGGACTAGGTATTTTTGGAATCGGAGTTTTATCACTGATTTGCTCAAAAAAAAATCGCCTAAAAAGAAAAATTTTCAATTCTCCTCATTTTTCAATTGATTTGACTACTGATTTATACAAACCAAATTTCTAAACCTCTATCGTTGTTCCAGACTCCTTCTCTCAGCTGCCTTGCTGTTGATTCTTCACCATCAACTGACATCAACTCCCTAAAGCTCTTTACTGGCTCCCGTGAACGTGTCTTCCCTTACGAACGAAATGCAGATTTTGCTCGCCACATCAATAGCTTGGCTACGGTAGCTGACAACCCGAAATGTCAATTCCCTGTAGGTTTTGGCGAATCTGGGGATCTCAAAGTTGGTTTGAAAATCTGAGATACCTTGGTTAATCCCATTTAGGCTATATGTAAAAATTTTAGTCGCGTGCCGTACGTGATCGCGTCTATGGAGTACGACCAGTCACACCAGTCAGTGAATGGGTGTACAGCACCTCGGGACCGATTGGTGCAGGTTCTCAGGATAATAAACTTGACACGTCACAGGTAACGCAGTGACTAAGGTTAGACCAGGATGAAACATAGGGTGTGATACTTTCTTAAAGAAATTCCCAAGCAAACCGATAATCTCCCTAGAGATCAGGACTTCGTCGCAATCAAGGTTGTATTAAGTCTGGAAAGCGGTTTGGAGTGTTGACAGCCATACTAATGAAAATAAGGAACACCTTGGAGGAGGCTTTGGTCTATCTCGTTGCTCGCGGTCCCGCAACGCAGAAGCTTACTGTAGGCGCTAATTTTTGGGTTCTTAATGAGGGCGGCGTTAGCAAGGGTGGCAATTTTTGCTAGTGGAAGTTATCTTTCTGAACTGAGCAGAAGGGGAGGAGGACAATACTGTTTACATATGTTAAAGTTTGATTTCCGTCAAATGTTGTACCAATTGTTCGTTGAGGAGCCTTTCGGTAGCGTACGATGGTCCCCTGCTCACGTATGACAAGGATTTCTACTATCCCCCCTCCGCCCCTCCCTTGCGCATTTTCAAAATGCCTCACGGATCGGTCACACCCATGCTTGATCCTGTCAACGATTAGTAAAATAATAGTATTTTCAATTAGAATATTCTTTTAGCTATCAGTATTGCTACAAGAAACTGACGGCCCTCCAGATGAAGATGATGCAGAAACAACACTTGCAACAACTAGAGCAACAACAACAACAACAAGAGCAACAACACACACAACAGCAGCACCAACAACGAGAAGACATACAACAGCAGCAACAACAACGAGAAGACATACAACAACTAGAAGAACGGAGGAACCCAGCACAACACATTCTACGACACCTCACAGGAGATTGTCTTTGAGACCGAGAACGAGCACTACGCATACGACGACGACTACTACGGAACAAACAACACATTCTACCACAAAACACACGACAAAGCTCTATTCGAAACGGTAAGTTGTTTTTTGTAGTTTGTAATGGCTAACTCCGCCCATAGTCACGCCCTCTTTTACTCTGTTTAATTGTTTAGCAATAGAAGGAAACAAGTGGAGTGAAACATGTGCCACACAAATATAAACTTTAATGTGTTTATTGTGTCCCGCTCCCTTCTTCCTTTTTCCCATCTAGAAAGATTGAGAGTACATTGGCTAGCTCCGCCCCCAGCACGCCCCCTTTCGATCTCTCTTTTAATTCAGCGTCATAGGAAAAATTTTGAAATTATAAGTGTGCCATACAAAATCAAAGCTAACTTCGTCATGTTCATATCACCTTCCCCGCCCACCTACCCCCTATTATAAAGGTTCGAAGTTCGTAGTGGTTAGCTACGCCCTTAGTCCCCCCCTCCACTTTTAAATCTCGTTTTCATTCTCATAATAGCTGCAATTCATAATCTCATCTTAGAAAGGATAAATACAGTCCTTTTTAGGGAGGATAGATACAGTACAAATCTCGTTTGTACGGAATTAAACCTTACTCAGTCTTACTCCCGCACTCAACTACAGATTCTGAAGTTTGTACAGTCGATTTCATCACGGATTAGGCGGAACAATCCACGAGGAGCGGCGCGTGCGCACCGCTAGAGGCTTCGCGAGCGCATAGGGTGGCATTTTGCCAAGCAAAGACTGAGGAGAATGAAAAGACGCAGACCTCGGTTCTCAGCCCGATAGGTTATACTGTAGCTGCGAAACGGCGCGAACTGTTGCGAGGCGGACGCCCGCCAATCCAAATTCCCCCAAAGCGGGTCGAAATTTACTGTAGTGGCTAGCTCCACCCCTGGCCACCCTTTTTAGATTTTTGTTTCTACTCTCAAGATACCAGCTATGATGTTTTCTCAAGAAGTATGGATACATTACTCAGTTCTGCACAAAGTCAACGTTTGCCCAGTCCGTCTTACGAATGAATTCCAAAGTTGTAACGCAAGCCCCCTCTCTGGCCATCCCTATTTGATTTTTGTACTCATTTTTGAGATATTAGCTGTGGGCCGCTATTCTTTCTTCACGCAAAAGAACCACAATTATTTGATTTTATACAAAATATACTACTCGTTCTTTTTGTTATGTCTCGGTAAATGAATCGATAAATTGACAAAAAAATCAATATAATGCTGTTTACTGACGGTCCTTAAGCACTCGACCATCACCGCCTCCAACCGAGCCGACAACTAGGACAAGTCATCCGACAACAACGCCCGCACCTACGTAAGTCGTCTGATTTATAAATAGATAAAGTGACTGAAATTTTATATTGGAAAATAAAATCGCTTGAATAATGAGTACATTTGTCAAAGTGGGAGAGCAAGTAGACAAAATTTCTGTAAAACAAAATCATTTGCAGTTATAGCGGCATACGCGAAAAAACATTCGAATTTCAAGCAGCACTTCATGGAAAAGATATTTTGTAAAGGAAAATTGTTACTGAAGTCTAAAATTGAATCCTTGAGTGCAAACATTGACATTTTTCTCATGAATGAACATTCTAGAACCACTCGCCAACCAACATCACCTTCCTATACCTACCACTTTACTAGAAGAAGCACACTAGGACCTGTAGAGTCGTCGACAGTTTTCAGAAAAGGTCTGCTTTTTACGATCTTTGAATATTTTGCGGTTGCAAATCCCTTCTTTAGGCTGTCTCATCGATTTGATAATTGTTCTGGACTCTTCTGGAAGTGTTGAAGAGACTTTCCGTCGTGAGAAAGAACTTGCAGCTGGCATCATTTCTCGATTGAGGATTGGGCCTGACAATGCTAGGGTTAGAGGAAGTAATCAAAAGGGGCTACGTCACCCAATCAGAGCGTTTTCAGGTTGCCATCATAAGATTTGCCGGAAGTCAAAGTGTGAGGACTGTATGGGCATTTGGTGAACCGCAATCAAAGAACAAAATCCTTCGGGTTTTGGACAGTCTTCCATTCAGCTCTGGTACTACAGCCATCGATGCGGCTTTGTTGAAGGTAATTTTGATACAATTTCAACCATATCGTTTGTAGTTTAAAAAAGAACAAAAAGTGGAAAGAGATGTCAATAAGAGCACACAGTGATTCCGCCGGGAAAGCGCGCTACAGTTATGCTACAGTATGCTACCGTACTCACACGGTACAAATAAAGTCAGATGCAGATTTGTTGACCGCTATGCGTTCCAAGTGGGGATTCTTTCCTTCTTGCATAAATTGGTTGAAAGGAGCCAAAAGGAGATTGGGCATACACTTCAACCCATAGTAGAATGTGTGCAAGCGCACATAATATGCACATTGCGCGTCAAATACTGGACTTTGCTGTGTATTGGCGCACCTTTTCAAAATTACAAAACTTTCCCGGAATGCCTACAGATGCAAAAAAATAAAAAAACTTTGATGAAGCATTTATTTGAAAGTATGCCTTGTTGCCAGTAGAATTCTGGATTTTACGCGCCTTGGGCATGTTATGTGCTATTGCACAAATTAAAAAGGATTTGGTCTTATAGTAAGCAGAATGCCTTGATCCAAACCTTTCGTATCACATATTTTTCGTACGAAACTTGCCTTGCATCCCATCCACTGCAGATCTCTACCTTATATTTGCTACAGTACACCCGATAGCTACAGTATCTAGTAAAAAGTTTACTGTAGGCGTTCTCCGAATATACAATGGACAATGGTGCTCGACCAGGTCATGCTAAACCCGTGGCTATAATCTTCACCGATGGATACGGTCGACATTCGGCACTGAAAGCGGCCGAGAAACTCAGGGCTGTTATTCCGGATACATATGCTATCGCTATCAATCACATGGTGAGTTTAAAACTAAATTTTTAGGACTACCGTAATCCTACCGTATGCTAATAAAACATTTTGTTTAGTTCGCCATTGCTCGGCCAGAGCTCGAAGTGATTGTTGGACAACCTGAGCGAGTATTTACGGATGAAAATATTGGAAAATTCCATGATATCTTGGAAAACATCGCAAGGGACTGCATTGTTGATTAGGAAAAAATTAGAAGTGATTCAAAGAGAAGATTTCAAGCAAGATTAGGTGATTGAAAGCTATGTAATTTCTTAATTTTCTGCTTATGAGGAAAATTAGGCTAGAAATATTAATCAAAGAACCATGTAGTTCGTGTCCTAAAAATTTCAGAAAATTCTTCTGAAGCCAAGAAATAGCTCATAATTTTCACTTCTTGCCATTCGATGCTAACCGTTCACAAAAAAAAATTGTGAAAGGGAGATTGTTCCTTACCGCAATGTACTTGTTCTCCAAGAATATGTAGTTTCTTCATTGCATTCCATTACTGTCCTAAGCCCCCCTCCCCTCTACGCCCTAACTTTTCTCAGTCATTTTTTGAAGTAAAATAAGAGCCTGAATGATTCAATCTCGAAGCAAATTTCTGATGCCCACCAAAAAGGAAAATTTGTTTTTTTTTGGAATTTCTTCCTTCTCTACTTTCTACAAATTTTTCTGTACAAAACTAAACTGAAAAAATATTGAGTGTAAAGAAATACCCGATTTTGAACTATTTTTTCCCCTAAAGAAGTCTGTTGCTTCAAAACCTTAAAAAATCCACCCTTCGATTAAAAGCCTCACCAGGACTAAAACTAATCCCAGTTTTCTATCCCCTCGCTCCCCCCCCCCCCTTGTCCTCCTTGCCCCGTACATATCGACCTCCACTGCCAACGCAGAAGCAATAAATGTGCCAACACTAACATTTTTTTACAATTTTTATATTGTCTCCTCACGCCCTACCGGTGTATTTATAGTATGTAAATCTAATCAATAATCATATGTTGTATCATAGGGTTACTACTGTCTAAATTGTGTGCGTCTTTCATGTATTTATTTAATACAATTTTGAGTATTGAATAAAAATTCATAAAATTACAACAGTACAGAAAATTAATTTATTTTTTACATGACTTAGATTCACAAATGACAATCGAACACAGACGAAAAAAAAACATTATGCGGGGAATTGCAATGAAAGTAGCGCAAAGTTGCGGCACGGGTGACGAGATTTACGCCCAGATCTGAAGAAAAAAATTTGTTGGGTAAGGCTGGGTATAGCTGGGTAAGTAGGGTAAAATTCTTACCCTAATGGTGCAATCCCAACTGGCAGAACATATAGCGGTCCCATCGGGACTGGTTCGTAAACAGCTGATACGATTTTCATGGCCATAAAGTACAGAATGACGTACGCATTTAAGTGAATCCCATACACCGACGCGATAGTCACCGTAACCAGCAAATAGTATGCGTCCTTTAATAAGGATTCTAATCGTTTATCTCCAGGAAAAAACCCTTTTATGGTGAGAAAAACTCACCGCTTACGCTAAAGTCCACTCCATTCACTGGGAATAGTATAGATTCTTTTTCATAGACACATACTTGACGATCGGCACGTAAATCGAATAAACGACACTGGAAAAGTGAATTTCCATTCTCGAGAGGCTTTCTCTAATTTCGTGCGTGTGCGCCTGAGTGTTCGGCGCGAACGTCATTCAATTTAACATAAATTTTACTGCCACCCCTTCCGTGTCTGCATGGAAGTGTTTTTTCCTGAGCAAAGCAAATTTTTTGGGCAAAATCGTTAAATATTATAGGCTTGACGGAAATTCAAAATTGGTTTTATATTTATAAAAAGAGGCATGACTTGTAGAATTAAATGTCTTGGTCTCTATTGGTTGCCCAAACGCATATACGTAGTTCTTTTTCTCTATTCAAAATAAAGCAAGTTCGCTATGGATACATGACAAATCACGAATTCATAGAATCAATCAATTCAATTCATAGAATCAATCAATTCATAGAATCACGAATCAATAGAGAAAGATTTGTAGTACGTTAGGCTATCCACTAGATACAGTGACTAGAAATCCTTTTTCTAAATGTGACTTCAAATCCCCAAAATAAATAAAAAAAATAAGATAGCAAAAAGTTTCAGTGGATGACTTGTGGCTCAAAGACAGCATTTTTAGGCAAATATGGGTACTTTGGTGTTTTAACTAACATAAGCCACTAGTGCCATATAGTTCATAGACCGAGAAATTCAAATGTAAACTCTAGCCACTACCGTACCACTTTCGAACGTGCAGCCCAGCAAGTACGGTAATGGGCAACAGTTATAATCCTCGGTCGTGAAGGACTCAGATAAGCAGTGAATTTAGCAATATCTTACCCAAGTCTCCCCATTGGTAACAAGGAGTCCAGGTAACCAAATTTCGAAAAAAAAGGAAAAGAAAAAGAAAAAATGAAGGAAGTTCTTTACCGTTGCATCATCAGAACCAGTAGCAAATGCGTCGCCGTTTGGATGAAACCGCACAGTATTGATGTCAGCTTCATGGCCTTCGAATGACTGAAAATTGAGATTTTAAAATTAGCGCAAGAATTATGTACAAAAAAGGGAAATGATTAGTAAACAAATAGATAGAAAATTGTGGAGAGGAAAAGAATTGAAAAAATGCAGTAATTTATGACAAATAAGTGAATAGATGACAATAATATTCTTACGAACAACCTGACATACCTGAACACATTGCCCAGTACGAATATCCCAGACGAGTGAATGTTTATCGGCTCCAGCCGATATAAATACATTCCCTGTATCACACTTAGGAACATCTATGGCAAAGACATCACCTGTATGTCCGTGGAAATTTTGTATCATCTGAAATAGATTCTTTTTGTGTAATTTATTTTTAGTAAATCTCCATCTGGCACAAAAGGTGCTAGGACCAAAAAATTCGAAAAAGCACAAATATTGCTTAGTTTTTGGCTTATTTGCTCACCTGCCCGCTTTCCACATCCCATATGGCACACGTGGAATCGCCACTTCCAGTGAGTAGAAGATTATCGGAACGTAAAAACATACAACAGCTCATATAGCTCGTGTGTGTAGCCACACTTCGCTTCTTCTGGAGGATATCATCTTCGAATGATAATGGGAATACACTGCATTTATTGTCGAGACCCCTGAAATAAGGGTAAAAAATTGATACGGAAGCGAAAAAGAGGGACAAAATCCTCAATTTGCCCTAAAAAATCAAAAAAAATGATATAACCCCAGAACTTGACAAAAATTAGTATTCCGCTCAAGTAGTTATACATATAACATGCTAAATATAATGATCACTTTATGGTCCGCTTTATCGCGGAGTTACTGTAGGTATACGGTATATGGGGCTAAGTTTCAGATTTCGCTAGATATTGCGTAGGAGGTGGGGTTATTTCGCATGCTGATTACTAATAACGTATCCGATCTACAGTAATCCACTGTAAAGTTGCGTGAGCCATGCATTTACAGCAACCCTACAAAAACAGTCCCGTAAGTTCAAAATATGTTATCCGTCATAGGCATGTCAGATAGCCTCTGGAGTTGCATCAAAATGTGCAGTTTTTACCGATCAAAATCCAGTTTTGACACGCTACCGTATATCCACCGTACCTCCACAGTAAGATGCCACTGAAGCAAATAAGTTGGCATTGTGATAAGCAAGATAGACACCCCCTCCCTCTTCCTAACCCATTGACGACAATGTGGACACCGGTGGCCCACGCACTGTCTGCTGCCAGGGACGATGTGGACCACCAGTGGCCCACAGCCTTTGCAAAATCATATGCCTTTTAGGTCTAGTATTTTTTTCACAGTTTAGTATTTCTTCTAATTTTTAGCACTCTTGGAACTTGTAGACTTCGCTGTCCAAGAAAGTGATTGTTGTTGTTTAAAAACAACTTTACATCTCGTAAATAATCACAGAACTTTCCCACGCCGAAAGTGTTGTGCAAAATCGCCTCGTCCCACAGCGCCGCCACGCAAAATTAGGGATCGCCGTCAATGGGCCAATGGAATGAAAGTGAAATCCCAAATTTATAGGATTGGACTAAAATAGCGTCAAGTTCATTTTATTCAAGACACCTTATTTTGTCTCCGACCTCATTATGGAATTGAAGGAAATTTTTGGCCCAATTTAGATAAGCAAGCAAAAAGGGAAAAGTCTACAAAATCTCAAAATCTTTACGAACCCGCAGGCAATGAGTTGACTACTTGGCGAATATGCACAGGCCATCACCCATGTCGTGGGCATCGTCAACGCATGTTCCTTATTTGTCGTGAATCCATCCCAAACGATGACTTTTCCGTCTTGGGACGAGCTGACGATGTGCCGCTTGTCCAGCGACCAATCCATACATAACACCTTGCCGGCATGTCCTTTGAGTATTCGTCTCTGCTTGATTCCTAGATTTGGCAGTGGATCCAAACGCTCGGCGGCTTGTTGGACTAAAATAGAACATGGATTTATATTTCATATTGATGGAAGCTCAAAGAGACTAAAGGTTCAGCCGGAAATGAAAATGTTTCCCTAGAGATAGGTCTAATTTTCCGCTAGAAAAGTTTAGAATAGAAATTTACAATGCTGATAATTCCGCATATAGCCAATGACAATGCTAATTTGAATAAAAGAGGTGGAAATTTTATGAATATATAGAATAAATATGGCTAGAACACCAGCCAAGATTTCTAAAAACCTATATAACCAATTACTAATTTATTGAATCAAGAATGAAGTATGTGAGAGTATTTCCATTTAAGGGCCGGGCATGCTTCACGCGATTTCAGTTGCGATGCGATTTGGCAATATTCCAACTGTCCATAACTCGTTAAACATACACAGTGTCCCAAAAAAATGTGCCTACTGTTTGATTGTAAATAACTCTCTCGTAACGAAGTGTTTCGAGATGCTTTAGGTACCGTTTTGTAGAGCGAGGTTGAATTTAGATTTGCAGTATGGAGCGAATCACCTACCGCTCTTCATTATTGTAGGATTACGGTGAGAACTTCCAGCATATGGAACCATTGTGAAATATATCACTTAACAAATTTTTTTTTCAAAAAACTGAAAAATCGTGTACTAGGGTTTTCACGCATGCTGATTCCACCTAACAACTTTTTACGAGTGTTTTCAGCTTTTTTGACGGTGTAATTACATTTCTGACAAATGCTGGGAATTGAGCTACTACGATTTACCGGGGATAACTTAGGAAATAAGCATTACAGCAAAATGGGAATTTCAAATTCGAGATCAGCGGCTCCCATTACCTTAGTGTAAGAGTTTTTGGCTTGTTTGGTTTCGTTCCGAGGCAGAGTATAGCCTCCAAAAGCCTAAATTTTTGTCGAAGTTCCTACCGTAATCCTACAGTGATGAAGAGCGATAGATGATTCGCTCCATATTGCAAATCTAAGTTTAAGCTCGCTCTGCAAAACGGTACTTAAGGCTTTTCGAAACAATTTCTTACAAGAGAGTTATTTACAATCAAACAGTAGGCACATTTTTTTGGGACACCCTGTATTTTAAATGTAGAGAAGATAGGGCACTTTATCAATCCACGTAAATTATAAACATTATGCATGTGCAGTTTGCTAATGTTGGATCTGAAGACTTCTGGCAAATTGCCAAATCGCGTCGCGACTGAAATCGCGTGAAGTATGCCCAGCCCTTTATTGAACTTTTGGCACAAAATTCTCAATTACTGTCACCGTCCCGATTTCTTGGGACATGCGTAAAAATGGAAGCATCAATTTCAATAATCTTATTGTTAATTAGACAAATTTCCAGCGTTTATTTTGCAAATTAAAGATATCCAGGTGAAAGAGCAATCAATATTCGAAATGGAATCAAGCTGAAGCCCAAAGCAATCTCCCGGAAGTCAAAATCTCGTCCACTGCACAAATTATGATAATTTTCCATCAAGGTTATAGAGTAAGTGCAAGGTTTTGATTCTTCTTGCCTTATAAGACCATAAATCTTTCACTGATTTAGCTGGACGAGCTATCATGATTTGAACAGCGTTCAACGAACAAAAAGGATCATCTGAATTTCAAATCAAAAAGAATCACCAATAGACATTATCGTTTGAAAATACAATTGTTAGCGTTTGTTAATATAATTGCCGTGAGACATCTACTAAGATCCAAGTGCTGAAGAATTTTCCAATAAAAAGTCCAGCCTTTGTAGCACAAAATTTGAAAGCTAAAAAAAGAAAACACAGAAAATAATAGGTGAGCAAAATTTACAAAAAATAAAAATTACACTTGAAGGTTGTAACCTCCTGGACAGGACAAGTGATGATTTTAAATCTAATGATGCGGAAGGACGAGAACTTGAAAATTTTAATTAACTCTAAATCTGTAAAGCTTACAAAAACTAATCAAAAGGTGCAGCTAGATGTAGATGCAGCTGAATGAAATCAAAAAAAAGAGTAGATGCAGAACTATTAGAAATATAGGTAGGTGTAGGAATATACTATTTGTATGAAAAAGAATATTCAAAGCGATTTTAATGACAACAAAAAAGCCACTAAGCAAGCAAGAAAACTCACTTGGAATATCATTCAACTTCTGTCGTTCTTGATCGAGTTTCTTCCTGAGTTCTTCGGCTTCTTTTGCTAATGCTTCTATCAAATCTCCTTGCCTAGAAAAGGCTCTATTTACAGCTGGAAGCGGAGCTTAAGAAAGAAAATGCTGATTCTTCTCTCCTAATCCTTCCATTTCAAAGGGAAGAGCTTAAAAAGGGCTCACCTAGCGGCTGCATCGCCAGCCGTTATGGTTGGCGCTGCATTTTCGGGCATTTTAGTCGGCGGTTCCTTCGAAGTTGACGGTTTGTCCTCAGTGCTCATTCGATTTGGAACAATTAGTCCAGGCTAACTCATCCCAGCGTCCTCTGTAATTGAATATTTGAACGAGAATCATGGAAAGAAAAAGTAAATTCTCCATTCGGATGCAAGAAAATAAGAGACGCGGAAGTAACTACATAGCGAAAAATCTAGTTCAGCACGCAGTTTCATGAAAATTCAAAGTGTAGAAGCACACCCAATAAAAAAGAGACCTTGAATGAAAGCAAAGAAGACTTAGATTTCTTGAAAATTCTTCTTGGATGGGAGTTCAGTATAACATATGAAAGTCGATAAGAGCTGCTTGGAAACCTAGGAAGGATAAATCAAAGAACATTGATAAATTTATCTTCTTTTTATTTGCCTCTATAAGTATATCACTTATTCGAAGAATCTTCAATGTAGCTAGCATGACAGAGAGACTTTATAGAACTTAAATTACGAGGAAAAAATAATCTAAAAGTAGAAAATCAATAAAGATTGTATAATACTCATAAGATGAATAAGAAAATATGTCACAAAGTTGATGGTTATAAAATCGCGCAAGAGAAATCTTCCCGGTTTGATAAATGCCCAGAAGATGTAGAAAATTGCTCCATCTTTACAGGTTAAAATAATTTTTTCCAAAATTCATCGCTATTGCAAGATACACAAATGGAGCTCCTAATGGCTCTATTTTCTTCTTATTTTAAAGGTGTAGAAACCAAAAATCAAAAAAGAATTCTAAACCTACAAAAAACGGACTACGATCTCCCTCTACCCCTCCGCATAACCCCCTTTCTCAGCAATGACTAAAATCCATGTACACAGCTAATCCCCGCGAGTCTAGCAGATTAAAAACCCAAAGAGGAAGTGCTTGACGTCAAACATCGAAGCGAATCTCCTCGTCTCTCTATCTTTCGCTCTATTCTCAAAGCGTAGGCAGTTCCGGACAAAACTGCATCTCATTAAATTGCCCCTACCCTCTGGATTCGTACTCTGTGTCTGTGCAATTGTGTGCATAAAAATGCAGCCTTGCGCATAATGCTGTAATTAGACTTGAGCAAAAACTCAAAATTTCAAGCTAAAGCGTTTTTCAACTGCAGACTCAAATTATCGCCGACAGCACTCTGCTTTTTCTTCTTTGGAGCGATTTTTTCTTGAATGTCACGAAGAATAGCTCATTAGGATGAATGGCTGAGAAATTGTGTGCTCTGAATAGCATGTCCTTTGCAAAAAGAGTGACTGATGTAACCAAGCGTATAGGACATTTCCATTAAATTTGATATATTAGCTTGAATGATGCGAGTAAGGGGAAAATTTGCAGCAGCGGCACAAAAATGAAATTCGCTTCTAAAAATAGGAAAATTTGAAAAGCTTACAATTAAAGAAAGTTTCATGGTTTTCTTTAGAGCTCTTATTCAATGCAGCGATAAGTTACTTACCAAATTTGTAGCAATTTTCATATCAGTAAAGTTCAAATCATGTGCGTTTCAATTTTTTCTAACTTTTCGAAAAGAATTCCCAAGCAAACCTTCCATGGAATTTTTGGAACATTTATTCAATAATGCAGCAATACTTAAATGCAGATTTGAGCCACACTGCTCACTAAAAAATCATTCAAATCGTTTTCCCTTCTCTACTTCTATGAGAATTAATAATTTTTTTAATTACTATTCATCCACTTCATAGTTCATTCAATATCCAAAGTTCATAATGAGCATTTGGTTACAGGTATAGAATTACTAAGCAGATGTGCCAAGGCCACTTTCCCATCCTCGCGAAGCAAAGATCTCAATGGCTCAGTGAGGAATCGAACTTAGATCATTCCGCTCATAACAGCACCCTTTAACCACTAATCCATCGACTAAAAATTGAAAGATAATGGCAAAAAGTTTGAGGAGAAAAAAGTAAGAGGTTGGCCTTTGGAACTATTAATGATAATTCTTTCCCCCTCATACAAGCAGTTTGCGTATGTTCCAGACGCGAAGATTGAAACTTGAATTTTTCAGCCTCACCCATTTCTAGATATTCTTAGACAATTCACCGGAACTTCCGCAGGACAAGCATAATTTGCAGCGGTTCCGCCGGATTTTGTTTACTATTGCTAAAGTGAAACGTTAAAAATGAGAACTTCCGCAGAATACGTCAGACAGGGTGAAAAAGGGAACTTCCGCAGGACATTCTACAAAGCGCTGCGGAACTTCCGAAAAACGACAGCGGTTCCGAAGCACAAGTTTCGCTGCAAATACATGATTTTCAAAGCATTAGATCAGCGAAAAACGTATTTTTTGCCATTTATGAGCTTTTTTCTCCAAAACATGGAAACCAAGTATAGAATCCATCTAAACCAAGCTGAAATTTTTCGAAAAGGTACGGTAACTATGAAATAGTTAAAGTTTATGACGCTCGACTACAACGTAGGAGATTGTAGTGCGTAGGGTCTAATTTCATAGACAAGAACAGGTGCTTTTTACCATGAATGCTTTATGGCAAAACTCGTTCAACCATGATAAATTTATGAAAAACAACAAATTGTATTTAATTTTAGCTCCATAATATTTCATTCAACAGAACGTTCAATAAAAATCTAATTCTATTCAAAGATTATCCTCATCAGACTCGTCACTTTTCAAAGAGATTACCTAGCCATAAAAAGCAAAAATTGATTCGTGACATTTTCGAAATAAAAGGTAATTTCATAAATATTTTTTATGTTCATGAATACATCATCGTCCATCATTTCGCTAATAAAAAATGAGCTTTAGAGAGCTTGAAGATACAATTATTTAGTTTACTGTAAATTCGCTTCAAATTAATGTGATGACCTTTACAAGCTGAGGTACAGGTTTCGCATTTTCAATTTTCCTATGTAAGTACTCACGCTTGAGAAAAAGAGAGCATGCACATTTGTATTTTCACACAAAAATCATGAGTTTCTCACTTACTGGAAAAATTCTATGCAAATCGAAAAGAATAATAAAATGTGGTCACCGTTAAGTTCTACAAAACAATCAAAATAATATGCAGTAAGTTGCCAGAAACATCTATGAAACTGTTCAAAATGTTCAAGGGTTTCATAACTTTTCAAGTAACAACTAGAAAGAAAGGAAAGGCCCAGTGAAAGAAAATCAACTAGGTTACAAGACCATAAAACTGCAAAATGTTTATTACCTAACAACAAAGGACAAAAAATAACAAAAGAATGTGAAACAATGGGATGAATGGAGAGAAAAGAAGCAAAATAAACAACACCTAGCTCCACTCCTTCACAGAAAAAATCCCAAAAAAATCATATAATTCCTTCCCCTGGACATTTTTAGTTGCACTTTTTTTTTCTGCCTTTTCTACTGGTTTCAGTGCAAAAACCTCTTACACTTCAGTGCTTCCATTTAACAAAGAGCAATTTCACATTCTTATGTTAATGAAATACGTGTTTACGTACTGAGGCAATCTTGACACTATGGGAATTTCACACAGTAAGGAGTGTGCTTTTAAAAAGAATCTTCCTTTCTTTTGTTTCTGATTCATGGCATACAATAAGATTTTTGTCCCCTCCTCTAAAAAACTCAGAAGGATATTTTCGCTCATAAAGTTTTGTAAAGTTTTGTAATAAGGCTCATAAGCACTGAATTGCGATTTAAAAGGTTCCAGTAGAGTTATTGGATAATCGAGTCAGTCAAATTGGATAAATTACATAAATTGCAAGTTTTTAATGGGAAGTTCAGAAATTACTTACTATAATAGTTCTCCATTGCAATATGATATCATAAGTTTATATTCGGAGCTAAAAAATGGATTTATATGTTTCCAAGCAAGATGTGAAACGTTTTTGGAAAAAATCGAAATGAGCTAGAGTAAGGCAGCCCAGCTTAGTAAGTTTTCTTGGAAACTCCATATATATATGTATTTGAGAAGTCACAGCAAATAGAGAGAATGTAGTCATGAGAAAAATTGAGTATCAAAGCTTTCAATATTACTGTAAACAGAAAGATGTCATTGCCTAGAAGATACGATTAAAAAGTTTAAAAAGAATGACTCAGTTTTTCAGTTAGCGCGACAAAAAATAGTAAATGCTGTAAAATAGAACAAGATGCTGTGAAAACGTTAAGATGATTAGTTTAGAAGTAGAAACAGTCATGAACAAGGTATGAAAAGGTAAAAAAGATGAACTCCTTGAGAAAATAGAAAGTCGAGAATTTTTTGAGAATTTCTTTTGTAATTCTGAATGGTGAAGGATGTGGAGCAGAGAATGAAGACTACTGAAGGAATATGAAATGTACAAGCTGAAATCTAAACCTTATACTCTTTTAAAAAGCGATAACGTTATGATTTTGGTTTTTGCGGGGCATTAAATGGTTATAAAGCAAAGAAAAGCACAGAAAATCTCAAAAATCGAGACACTGCGGGTTTTTCATCAAAAATTGACGTCACACAGCTACGTCACCATGCAAAACCCGGAATCTAAGAAAGGTGATAAGGGCGACACTTTGTCAGGATGCCGAAGTTAGCAGAGAGCACGGTGAAAGAGGTTGGCAGTGACCGCAACGCGAGTGCCGGACGCGACGCGCACGGGGCAGCCCCCCGTCGAATGACATCAATACGGGGGAGCGGCAGCTCGCAGCCCGAGAGCTGTGTGAGGTCGCGCTTGTGTGTGTGTCGGACGGACCATTTCATGCCGGGCGATGATGAGTGCCATGTCAGAGATGCGGGGTGGGGGAGGGGGTAGGGATGTGGTCCGTTTGTAACTGCGGGAATTTCATCAAATCACGAGGATCTAGCCCAAAATTAGAGAAAATGGATTTCTTGGATTTCTAATTTAACATCACAAAGTTGTTTTTTGCTACTTCGTTGAATTCTCTAGAGAACCGCGAAAATACAGTTAATGTCATCCAGGTTGAAAGAAAAACTAAAAACTGCCGTTTCCAGCACAAAGAGACGAACTCGCAGGAGGGACCATTAAATATTTTCCAAAACGGATATTTCGTCCATTTTCAGGCCTATTCACATAGTAGCATCACTGAATTATAAAGTTCAAGTAAAATTCTTAGATTTTTTAGACGGCATTGCTAAAGTCC